GGCGGCCTTTGGTCACACAAAGGACCACAGTTCCTTCATTATTTTTATCTGCAACAGCATTAGTGTGGCTAAAATTACAGCAAACATTCCTGCTTTTAGCTTTCACCTTCTTTAGCCTTTGTCTACTTGACCTACTTTGATCATAACACACTCCTATTTGGGAACACAGTTTGGTTTATACAGGAATATTATGATTCATATTATGCTAGATGGTGGCATGGTCACTTGTCTTTGTCAAGGAAGCAAAAATCAACAAAGTTTCTAGAGAGTTCAACCACTTTCTAAGAGCAAGAAGGGTGGTGGGAGGGGTGAAGGTGAGGAGGGTAGGGGATCTAAACCCAGGGCAGCAGGCTGCTTTTTTTCAGAAGCAGAGGAAAGTACAAGGGGTTGGGCGCAGTTATTAAGAGGCCGGAGCAGCCTGGCTGTTAGTGCTGTTATGTTACCATCAAGTGGCACTTACGCGCTTTTCTCACATGGGGGACATGATCTGCAAACAAACGAGCTGTCTGTTACACGTTTTCATCTGCACATGGTGTTTGTGTCACAGAAAGATCAAAAATAATCAAACAACTACAACATCATCAGCAGCGATAGATAAACTGGACAAAACGTATGATTCTACATTAAATGAAACATGAGGCTTTTGTTTCTTGTGCAACTTGGTGCCATGGTGCTGTGTGTGTGAGCCCTGTTGCTATGTCTCACTAAGTGTATATACCATTTTGTGAAATTACTGTGGATTAGACAGGAATCATAAGGTGTTTTTCATTCTAAAGCGCTGCTTTTATTACCTGATTCTATTTATATTCAGCACACCCTTAAGCAGGAAAAATGATCATTTCAGATTCCTCTCACACAGCGCAATATCCTTTTTGGCTACTTCCTTCTGGGAGACGCTACAGCTGCTTAATAACCAAGACAAGACTTTTCAGGACTAGATTTTTCTTTACTGCCTTAGACTCATTAAAATCCTCCTATTAGTGTATATTATTAGAGCCAGCCTATAGGTTTACCTGGTCCTTGTAGGAATGCATTTGTGAATCCATATTAGAAGTCGACTGTTTTATCGGTAACCCCACAATACCAGCTGATCAAGATATAACTAAACTCAACCTTTAGCATGAAAATAACACACAAAAAATCAATGAAAAACAAGAAAATCAAGAGAAAATTCGCAAAAATCAAGGCTGCAGAGAAGTATGGGTAGACCCGCCTCCAGTGCTATAAAATTTACAGTACTCAGTATTATTTTATACACTATTATTTATTTCAGTCCAATTATTCATGGAGTATAAGATTAAAATGTAGTATATAAGTATAAAATTATTTTATTCAACATTATCTGTTATCAGAACATTTTCCACAAAATTTTCATATTTGTTCTGCCCCTAATTTATATTATGCATTTTCGGACGAAATCACAAAACCTTGTGTCCTCCTATGTTGTATATTTTGCTGACACCTCCATAATTATTTGACTCATTTGAGGTACCAAAAAAAAAAAAGCCTATATATATATATATATATATATATATATTTTTATATTTTTACCTTTATATATATATATTTTTTAACCAAAACACATTACAATTATTGGCATCCTTTGAGATTCACTGGAGTATCAATAATGAGGTGACAAGAGAGGCCAAATTCATTTCATCAGGAAGATTAGAGAACACACAACCGAAATGAGAAGTGAAATGAGGGTGTGTTGACTTTCTAAAATCAGCCAATAATAACTACAAGTCTGAAAATATGTCCCAAATCCACTGTTAATTAAGAGGTTTAAAACAACCAGAGCCGTAGTGAACCTGCCTGGAAGAGGTTGCAGGTTTATTTAACCCCCACAACACGCAATCCCTCGGACCTAAACCCAACTGAAAACCTGTGGGGTGAGCTGAAAAACAGTGTAAAAAAAAAGACCTTGGACCCTGGAGGACCTGGAGAGATTCTGTTTTGAGTAGCAGTCCCAGACTACTTTCCAATTTCCAATTCTCCAATTTCTTTGAGCATTATAGGTGAGAAGCGTGAGGCATAGTTCAGTTCATGCTTTCATTTTTTTTTGTGGGGTTGTTGTTGAGCACAAATAAGAAAAAAAACGTTTCTAGGAGAAAAAGTTTCTAGGTTTTATTAAATTAACAACAATTCGGAACACTAAAGAGAAGTACTCTATAGAACATGGTACAATATAATTTCACATAAATCAACTACGTAAATATACAAATAAATAGAATAATAATTTTGTGATTGTGAGTTATAGTTGGTACTGGTTGGTGTGGACAAAAATTTATACCATGGTATAATTAAGATTACTGACTGATAGCCAGGTAATTTTTCATGCTTGCCTAATTGCTAACGGCTAATCCCAAGAGACTGGCTTTTACTTCCACTCTCTTTTCTCTGTTAACCATTAACTCAGTACAATCTGATGTCTGTTCCTTTGACAATAAACTGGACTAACTTACCTCAACTCACTACACGAGAGCTGAGGGAACCAGTGTGTTTTTTGCGCTGTTTGCACGTCGCTTTCTTTTCAGATTCGTTACAGCCCTAGTGAGGACTCGTTGCTGTAATACTGGCAATGGGAGGCTGCACAAAGTACTAAAGGCATGGGTACAAAATACTTACAATCGGCATGTTATATGCATGATCTTCCAAAATAAATCTGTAGACTAACACAGATACGGGGAGAGAGAGAGAGACTTATGGAGTCATACACAGCACCCCTCTCCCCCCTGCTAGCTGTTCTGGTATTTGCTGTGCAGGCGCTGGTTTAGAGTTCATCTCTTCTCTCTGACACACATTAAGGCCTATAAGGCACCATCACTTGTCCTTGCTTGTCTCCTTTGAGAGAAGTCAGGCTGCTTTAGCCATGCTCTGTTAATAACAACCACAGAGCGCGCCTCACTGCGTCCTGCTGAACATGCATAAACACACTATCTCAGAAAATAGCCGGCCAGCGCCCGACGCCTTTGAATCCTCCGAGCCGCACAAGCTCTTTGTCACCATGGTGACTTCCAGCAGTGGGGACAGAAAAGCAGTTAGGGGCTTACGGGCTGTAGGGAGATATGCTGATATTCTCTGTTGATAGCAGCTCTTACATTTGATCAGGCTGCTTACTGAATATTTGATCTTCAAGACTATTTGTAGCCGAAGCCCTTAAACCTCAGGCCCACCTGTCCCTCACTTCCCTTCCTCATTTTGATTACTATATAGTTTAACAGTAGTTACTGGATGAGTGTTTATATACTTGAATTCATCCTTCACCATCACTTAGTGTGATGCTGTTAGCTGACGTTACAGAATAGTCAGTTATGATCCATTTTGGGTGTTAATGCATCCCTGCCCTTCATTTAGCTGCATACAGATGTCATGAGGGTGTTTTCTATGAAATTCAGTCTTGCTAGGGTAATATTAATGTTCTCATGTTTGGAATAATCAGAAAGTCAAAGACTTATAGTGTCTGAATTATAAAAAAGCAGCACTACCATTTCCAACAATACATTCCTCATTTCTAATGTACACTGCAGATCACTACATCAGTTAAATATGTATGAAAATGCATCGTGAGTCTTGTTACTAATGTTAACACTGGCAGGTAACAAAACGTACCAGTTTTGACTCTCTGCTGAAATAAAAAGATGCTGAAGCATTTACTGATGATTAGAATTCTGAATAATCAATATAAGACAGAATTGTGTTCTAAGATAAAATCGTTTTTTAATAAAAAAAAAAATTAACATCACCAATATTTTGCAATTATATATTCAGTATTTCTTGGGCAGTTTTCATTTGTGCCAGAGAGGGCGACAAAGGCCTTTTCACAAGCAAAGGTCTTTAGGAACAAAAGTTTTTACAGAGGAACTTCAGCTTCTGCGAGTTGGTGGAACTACTCGTGCTGTTTTTTTTTGTTTTTTTTTTGGCAGAATGGGTTGTTACACAACATCTAAAGAAATGTATCATATGTTTTCATACTGGCTAGAAGAATTGGATTTTTGCGTAAAGAAGACGTGGATTAATCAAACAGTAACAGTGACAAGGTTATTATCTTTCTTTTAGCCAGTATAAAGACAAATACATCTTCATTCAGACTAAAAGAAAAATGATAACTTTGTCATCATTACTGTTTAATAAATCCACAAGTCTTTTAAAGTACATTGAACTTGATTTGAAGGTTTCACTGCATTAAATCCATAATAATCAACTTGGCCTGAAAAGACATCACAATCATTAAACATTAAATCCTATTCCACACAAAGAATACTGCTTCATACACTGTTTTCCCTCACTGCTGGTTGTGTAAATTAAGTAAAACCAAGTGTGGAGCTTTGGATAATGGATGAGAGCGCAAAACCCGATAAATTCTATGGGCTGATTTTATTGACAATCATCAATAAATTGATAAGTAATCCCAGCTCTTTTGCTCATCAAATAGCAGAAACATGGAATGGTAACTCTACCTGGTTGCTGCAATCATGGACCCAGAATTAAATGTACAGCCAAGTTCTGTAGTTTTTACCAATCCATGTACATGTGCATTTACTGTTCCACGCATTTGTCGTTTTCCGCCTATATAGTGTAATACTAATGAAGAGTAGAGATTTGTTTTCAATCAAATCTAAAATATAGTGTTTCAACGGTGCAATGAAATGATAGAAGCTATATCGCCCCCTATGCTTCCTGTAGGGTACTGCACTTTGTCAGAATGACAACATATATATTTTTTTATTTTTTACTTTGCTATAACTTTTCATTGTGCACGGATCAACACAAAAGCTTTTTGAAAGTTAATGTTCAGAGCATTTTCCCTGCGAAGTCTGTTTCAGAGCTATGAGGTTTTATTACAACAGTCACAATGTTAAAATTAAACAGCCTTATAGAGGCCTTTTTTATTAAAGATAATCAGTGTCATAGACTAATAACAGGCTTTCCCAACTTCTTGCTGCAGCTCCACATGTGCTGTGCATGTGTGTGTATGGAACAGGTCCAGGCCCTCTTACCGTACTCCGTGATGGATTTGGGCACTCTCTGTTCAGCCTCTGTGTTGCGCTTTTTGTTCTTTGACTTCCACGCGTGGTAGACCTTCAGCCTGCGATGGAACTCCTCCCTACATGCAGCCAACAACTCAATGTCTGTAAGGGGGGGGGGGTAGAAATAGAGAGGTGTGGAGGAGAGAAAAGAGAATGGGATCATACAGACGGCAAATTGAGCTTTCTCTGTCAAGCAAAGGTCAAAAACAGATGAACACAGAAGAAAGACACTACACGGAGGGGGGAGTGAGTAAGAGAAAGAGAAGGAGCGAGAGAAAGAGAAAGAGAAAGACGGAGAGACAGACAGACAAAGGCAGACAGTGAGAGAGAGAAAAACAGAGAGTAAGGAGACATACAGAGAGAGAAAGAGACACATACATAACACAGAAAAGGAGAGAGAGATTCAGAGAGGGCCAGAGACAGAGAGAGAGAGAGAGAGAGAGAGAGAGAGAGAGAGAGAGAGAGAGAGAGAGAGGCATAGAGAGAAAGAGACAAAAAGACAACGAGACAGAGGCAGACAAAGAGAGAGAGAGAGAGAGAGGCAGAGACAGAATGGGAGAGAGGGGTAGACAGGAAGAGAGAGGCAGTCAGAAAGAGAGAGAGACAGAGTGAGATAGACATAGACTGAGGCAGACAGGAAGGGAGACAGAGACTAGAGACAGATACACAAACACACAGCGTCCTTCCTCTTTAATGAGATTATTTCATCAACATCTCAGTCCTCTCTCTGATCACATGATCCAAACACACCATTTTCGTCCACTCCTCAGATGACCACCTGTATCTGCCTAACAGCCTCAAACACAAACAGTGTGGCTGCTTCTGAGTGACCGTTTTACCTGCTCCTGTCTCAGCATGAGCCCAGCGCCAAACACAACAGCTCCAATTTCACTGCTAAGTGGATGAAAAAGTTTTTTTTCCTCCTCAGAGCTGAAGGAGCAGCGATACAGCAGTGATTCTTCCAGAAAGACTCCAGTAATACAGTGCTTGATGATAACAATCGTCAAGTCTAGTTGACTAGAGATAACAGCCTTCAATAAAAAAGCAGAGACAGAGAGAGAGAGAGAGACAGACAGAGAGGCAGAGAGAGAGAGAGAGAGAGACAGACAGAGAGACAGACAGAGAGACAGAGAGAGAGAGACAGAGAGAGAGAGAGAGAGAGAGAGAGAGAGAGAGACAGACAGAGAGACAGAGAGAGAGAGAGAGAGACAGACAGAGAGACAGAGAGAGAGAGAGAAAAACAGAGGCTCTGCTGGTCTATCCCTTGTTGCCATGGGCTACCAGCACTGTTTCCCTCCACCTTCAGCTCCGCCAGCCCTCTCTCACTGAGGGCACAGCACTGCGCAGCAGCAATATCTCACCATCAAGCCTCGACCCTAAGAACACTTTATTAGCTCCACCACTAATTCAGGACAGCGCAGCTAGTTCAAAGGACCGGCTACGTTCGGAGCCTCTTCTCATTGATCTCCAACCGACAGACCATTATGCCGACTCCTCACGTACGCAGTGGGCCGAGCAGTTTGAGATCAATGAGAAGACTTTCGCTTCTGGCATTTCCTGGATGAATCTCGGAGCTAAACAGCTAAGCAGCAGGTGCAGGCCTGGTTTACTTGGATGACGCCACTTCTACAGCATGTCCTGCACTTTAACTAAGAAAGGTCTGGCAATTAAACTCTCCAGAATGTCCCCCTAGGTTAAAATGTGGCCAATTAGCCAAAATAAGTTGGTATCCAAAGTTTGCTGCTTTAGTTTTGCAAATGAGCTACGAGGCTAATGTAGCTAACAAGCAATGGAAGCTTAGGCATGCCAGTTAGCATAGTGCAAACTGCTTCCACTTCCAGAAGGACCCGTTTTAACACTGTTTTTAACAGGCCATCGCAAACTTTAAGTAACCACTCGGACATATGTCGCACCTTCGCAATATAACTGGTCACTTTCAGTTCAAGGAGAGGAGTGGGCAGTAAAAAAGTGGACTCACCCACCCTCAGCTAGGCTAGCCTGATTGAGCTATATAGCTAACCATGCAAAACATTGTTTTTGGAAAAGTCTGAATTTGTGAATATCTGCTTTCTCTGGCTGCACGTTGGTGTAGAGGCTTGCTTTTTGTTGTTGTTAGCTGTGTAGCCTTTAGCTGGCTAACTAGCAGGCTAGCAGTTGAATCAATAGTCATGTATAACAGTAATCGAGCAGTTTGCTACCTAAAACTCATCCTGAACAGAGCAAACTGAATGTTATGATTTGGAGATTCAGAATTTTAAAGTATTTAATCGCTAATTATAAAACGGATAGTTTCGGTCCTAAAATCTGATTGGCTGAGCTGCATTCGAAGCCGTTGTAAAATCCACAATGTACCCACACCTATGACGCCTCACAACAACTGAATTGTATTACTGAGCCACGGCACGAAAAAAACCCTGGTGCTGTTAATGGAATAATCTTTAAATCATGCTGCTCGCGTGGACCACCAAGTGTACTGATTAATCAAGAACCTGTTTTTTATTTAAACTGAGGGGCTGGTGACTTATGTTGTTGACTAGAACTAGGTACTTATAGTATGATTAACCGCAAAACGGCAGAATGAAAGTCTAAAAACGTCACTTGAATGACTTCCACGCTTCAAATGTCCGTGTTACTGTCAAAAGTCGCGTCAAACCCAGGCTGAATCCCAAACAGCTCCAAAATCCTTAAGTGTCTGAGTCTCAAATTACCATTTCTTAGCTATATTAAGCACTTTTGGGGTGCAGAATCCAGTACTTAAAATCCCACGTAGTGCACAAGAAGAGGGGCACCGCTGGATTGGTGCTAAGTAAGACTCGGGGTGGTAATTTGGTGACCAACAAGCGCAAGTTTTTGTATTAACCAGTGCTGTGTCATCATATGTTCATTGTTATTCTCCAAAAAAATGTTCGCAATATACACTGATGTTCTCCTCATTCAGCGGTATATGGTTGTTGGCAACGATGCTGTACTCTAAAGGAATTACATTTCGTGGCAGAATACATGTTTATGTAAATTATTATTAATAATAAATTATTTTCCCAAAAATTGTGTATTTTTTCATATTTCATGTTGGTCGCCGTTTTATAAAAGCAATAAGCCACTTCAGGCTGTGTGTTACTGCAATTTTATCGTAGGGAAGGGAGTTTTAATCTGCTTCGTGTTGTGCCTAATAACACCCTTCCCCGTGATAAAATCACAGTCACACACGGCCTCTCATGGCTTATTGCTTTATTAGCTTATTAACAGCTTTGTCTGACTTTTTTTTAGGGCTTGAAGAGGAAAATCTTGCAATGATTGCTGGGCAAGTTCTGCTGCCAAAGTCGATGTGTGTTTATTTAATCCCTTACCGCAATGGAAAATGGAGAGGCTGAGTGGATGTGGGCACGTGGGTTAAAACTGGTACTAAAAGGGTAGATAGACGTACTTTTGTTCACTACTGTTTGTAACTATGCAGCAGTTTTGTCCATATCTTGGTTGACTAAACGTGTCTCAGCTCAACTGATCTTAAAAAGACTTGCTTGTGTGGTTTATAACCTACTGTTTGTTATGCTAAAAAATTGGAAAAATAGGCCATTTTTTAGGGACTTCATAATGCACGCAAGGTCTGAATAACACATTTAAAAAGCAGTACAATAGTATTTACGAGCAGCTTATGTAAGTGTATGCAAGATGGCATACGATTAATTATAAAAATAAATAACATTTAAAGGGCCCTTAAACTAAAGTGACCAATATTTGTTGTTAACACCGCTATGAAGAAGCAGAGGCCTAGTTAGGACCACTTTAGTTAGTCATATCAACACAATGTCATTTACATCATACTGTATCACAATATTTTATGCTCTTAAGTACGTTATTCAGTGTACACATATGTGATCTAAAGCCCCTATCCTTAACGTTTACATAAGCTTTCCACAAATATTCAAATATATTAGTATATATTATATAAATATTATATAATTCAAATAATGTTATTCAGTGCTTATGCATGTGTTATGAAGTACAGGCACAATTCAGACCTATAATGCTTTATAGCAGCGTCACAAATGGCTTTCACCTTAAGGAATCTTCATGTCATTACAGCATCATTTACATATTCAAACATCTTGTGAATAGAGACATAAGCCTTTCATAAATTCTATAACCATGCTTTATAGCAGTGTTATAAATATAATAAATAGCCTCACTTTAGTTTAAGGGGCCTTTGTGTCAACACGATATAATTTACATAATAGACTATAACCATGCTTTATAGCAGTGTTATAAATATAATAACAGCACTCACATTCGTTTAAGGGGCCTTTATGTCAACACGATATCATTTACATAATAACCATTTTGCTAATACAGACAGAAGCTTTGATGAATATTCAAGTATTTCTTCTTAAATATGTTATTCAGTGCTTTGTACATGTGTTATAAAGTCCCAAGAGCTTTTCATAAACACTCAAGTATTGCTTTTAGTGCTCATAAACGTGTTATAAATGTACAAAACTTGGACAAAAATGTAGACTATAACAATACTTTATAGCAGTGCTGTTATCCAATATTATGTGGCACAGCTAAATCAGTAGTCTTGAAGCTTAAATTCTGTTTGTAGTTGTGTGAAACTAAAGCAAGGTTTTGAACTATTCTGCATGCAGTTCAACTGCAATTGCAGTAAGAAGAAAATGGTGTAAATTTTCAATTCATTTCATCACATTAATGGACATGACTTACCGCAGGATGTGTTGATGGCGTCTCGGAGCTCTGCATACTTCCACTTGCTGAGTTCGTACTTCTTGGCATTGGCTGCCGCCTTTGTGGCTTGCACCTGCGGACCCCTGTCATACCACCCCAAAAAAACAAAACAGAGGATTTTAGACACGGCACAACCACCTGCCTTTTGAAGTGGAAGCCTGCTAAGAGCGAATGTCGGTTATACAGATAAGGCACTGATTGCGTAATTTAGGAGGAGACATTACAGGCAGGTATTAAAAAGGAAAGAACGGGAGGTGAGTGAGGTTCAATTAGACTGGAGAGAAAAGCACAAAGGAAAAAATGGCTGTGTCTGGGTGCAATTCAGAACACACACACAAATGACTCTGTAATGAATGGCCGGAGTGAACAGCGGTCAGGACTGGTCAGAAAGAGGTGGTATGCAGTGCTGATTGGATGATTATTATGATTATTAACATGAGATGGAGGTGCAGCCACCTCGTTTAGACTCGTGATTATGGCACTCTGGTATGCAGGAGGTGCGAAGAAACGCTCACACACACACACACACACACACACACACACACACACACACACACACAAGCAAACATACACCGCGAACACTCTTGATCTCTCCGTCTGTCTCTTTCCTTTTTACTGTTTCAACTCTGGAAGTTGCCCCTTATAGAGAAATACCAGTGGGATTAAGCAGCCCACTGACATCCACCCACCCTGCAATCTGATTGGTAGACGTCATCTGTCACTCAGTGAGTCTGGCCTTACACTGTATTGGCTGTTTACACTGTATGGGCTATTTAGAGATGCACAGAACTGGAGGTGTGAGGAGAAGACAGAACAGAAGGGAAGGGAGAAGCACAGAGGAGAGGAGAAGTGAAGAAGAATAGAAAAGTCAAGACAAAAGAGAAGAACAGAAGAGCAGAAATAAGGGAGGAGAAAAGAAATGAGAGATGAGATGAAAATAAAACAGAAGAGACGACAAGTGAAGGAAAGACAAAAAAAGAGAAGAGGAAAAGAGCAGAGAAAGAAACAAAAGAGCAAAAAAACAGAGATAAGCAGCAATGAGACATAAGGAGAGGAGATAAGAGCACAGAAGAGAAGGAAGGAGCAGAAAAAAGAAGAGAATAAATGAAAAGAGCAGGCAAGAAGATAAGACAAGAGAAGAGAGAAGGAGATAAAAAGGAGAAGAAGAAAAGAAAGGAGCAGAGAGGAGAGAAAAACAACAACAGAAAGGAGAAAAGAAATTAGAGATCAGTAGAGATGAGAAGAAAGGAGTGGAGAACAGATGAGATGAGAAGAGTAGAGAAGAGAAGAAAGGAGCGGAGAGGACAGAAAAATAACAGAAGAGATGAGAAGATATGAGACATGAGGAGAAGAGATAGAAGCACATAAGAGAAGAGTGCTTATTAGAAGAGCAAAAGAGATATAAAGATAAGAGAAAAAAAGAGGAGAAAAAGTGAGGAGAATGAGGAAAAAAATAAGAGATTAAGAGTACAGAAGGGAGACGGGAAGATAAGAGAAAGAGAAGAGTAGAGAAAACAAAGGAGAAAGGAAGAGAAGAAAGCAAAAATGAGGAAAAAAGAAAAGGGAAGAGAAGAAAAGAGAAGAAAACAGAACAGTACAGAAAAGAAAGGAGATGAAGAAAAGAAAAGAGAAGAAAATAGAGGATAGGACTACAGATGACAAGAAGAGATAAGAAGAGGAGAAAGAAAAGAGCAGAAGAAATAAGAAATTGGAGTTTACTAGAGAAGAGAAGAAAGTAGAGGAGAAGAGATGAGTAAAAAAAGAAAGCAGAGGACAGGAGGGAAAAAGAACAGAAGAAAAGAGATGAGAAGAAATAAAACATAAGGAGAACAGATAAAAGCACATAGGAGAAGAGCAGGAATGAGAAGATGAAAAGTGAAAAAAAGAGAAAAAAAAGAAGAGAAAAAGAAAAAGGGAAGAAAAAAACAGAAAAAAAGAAAAATGTACAGAAGAATGAAGAAAAAGACGAGATGAGTAGACAAGGGAGGTGAGAAAAAGAGAGGAGTGGAAAAAACAAAGGAGACAAGAAGAGAAGAGAAGGAGAATGAGAAAAGAGAAGGGAAGAGGAGAGGAGCGAAGGAGAATGAAGAGAAGAAATGTGAGGAGAAGAGAAGGAGAATAAAGAGAAGAGACGAGAAGAGACGAGAAGAGAAGAGAAGAGAAGAGAAGAGAAGAGAAGAGAAGAGAAGAGCTATCCCAGACCTCCTTGCTCTGGCTGAGATCCTCCTCCAGGCTTACTGGCTGCTGAAGCCTATTAGCTGTGGGGATTAGTGTTGTAGCTTCTCTCTATCGTCACTCATTCACAGCTTCTACAAACGCAACAGGCTAAAAAATCTCCCAGGCAGCGTCACACTCAGCCTCCAGGAAGAGCAGATTACAGAACAGTCCTGCACTGCGCTTCTTCTGGGAATCAATAAGACAGATAAGCGCTTATCATCAGCATCTAATGCTAAATGACTGATGGCGGAGATCAGAAGCCATTCACTCTCATGTGAGTGAAGAAGATCTAACAGAAACATGTGAACTGTTCGCTTTCATCCTTCATTTCTGAGGAAGGAGGGGCAAGTAAACCTTATGGGAAATAACTGTTGGAGAACACTGCCAACACACACACGCCAGTCATACTGTAATACTCAATTAATTACATTATTAACAACAATTAATCAAGACTTATTCAAGCTGGCTCAATTAATTAATTGATTACTCCAATCGCTGACGTGTTCATTAGACGTCATGATGAGGACAACAGCCCGTGGTTTAATTCAGTTTACGATTGTCAGGATTACAGAATTAGCCTCGTGATTAATTGGTAATTAATCTCTCCTGAGGGAATTGTTTGGAGGTAATTGTTGGAGATTGTGTTGACGGGAGATTCGAGGGTCAAGCTGAGCCGCTCCACCCACCTAGCCAGAAGCTCAGACATTTCCTTGGCCATTTCCTCCCTATAGGACACCATGGATGCAACACATACATGTTAGTATACATTAGAACCACTCTGTTAGAAAGGCTTACCCTGTAGGTCCACCTTGATGGACAGTTAAAGATTATAGTCCTATAACAGCTGTTATGTGGTCAGAAATGGACCAACGATGAATGAAGGGAATGTCAAATGGTCTGTAACTGTACACCTATATAGTGGATCTATAGGGTAGGTGATGCTCATGAAGTGGCCAGAGAGTGGAACTATAGTACAAAGTTAATGGACCCCCCTTCATTTATTTCCAGTCAAAAGAGCCATTATGTACAAGTTATAAACTCCAGTCTATTTGGGAGACCTGCCTTCAGTAAAGAAACCTGCAGGGATATTTTGCTACACCTCTAAAGTTCAGTCTTAGAAGTTGGTTGCATTTTCTGCTTCTCACAATCCAAATAATCCCAATGAAATTCAGTGATGACCACTCTATTGTCCTGAGATTTGATTTGCAATCTGAAAGGAACATATCCTTTCAGACTCAGTGTTGAGTTCCCACAGTGGGAGGATGGACAGAAACACCTGTGGATCAGATTTATATCTGATGATGACTGTTTTGGTGGTCTCCCAGGTCTTGCATGGTTGTTGGGAGTCCCATTTTCTCTATAATGTTTTTGGAAATGTCTAATTTTTCCACTTATTTCCCTTCAACTTCCTCCTTCCTTATGCAAGTGGGTTCTCATATCTAATTGCATCAAAAACAAATCCTGAAAAATTGCATTTAATGGCTGTTTTGACTTAAGTAAAAGAAGGGTGGTCATTTACACAGTATTGTACAAGATAGGTGTTTCTAATAAAGTGGACAGGGATAATATTATTCATGGTTTACAAAGATTTAACACAAGAATAACAGACCCTTAGTTTTTGAGTGAGCGTGTGTGTGTGTGTGTGTGTGTGTGTGTGTGTGTGTGTGGGTGTGTAGAATATCTGTTGCATGACTGTGTATGAATTAGGGCTGTTAAGTTGACATGCTAACAACTTATTAACACATTCAATTATTTTAACACCATTAACATATTTTCCTAGTTTGACCCTTCAAACTATCCCTTCCCATAGCAGCCCAGTGCTATGATAGAACCTCTGATGGTAGTCTTCTCATTCAAACACAGCTTTTAAATGTCTTTTAAATCTGCTGCACCTTCACCTTGCAAAGACGCTGGACAGTGCTCGCAAGAGACCCGTGGATCCTAGCAGCAAACTGACATAACAGCTCCCCTAGAGAGCCTCCACTGTAACACGAGTCCATAAGCTGAATGAATGAGAGCAAGGGGCTACAATCATAGAGGAGCTCAACCACTGACTGTATACATAATCTATACACTTGTTAGTTGGAACATGCAGCCACTGCTGCTCTCACTGGACATCAGCGATAAAAATAGGAAACTGAGGAAACTGTATTCTTTTTGGGAGACTTGCCTTCAGCAAAGAAATTGGCAGGGATATTTTCCACACCTCCAATGGAAATCACAATTGAAAAAAATTAATATTGTCTGATGAAGCGTATTTTGTTCACTCATGTAACTAACAAATGCTCTGCCTTTTTAAAATGAACAAATCTCTCTTTAGGTTCAATTTTGAACAAATAAGAGAAATGCTATTAATTATGACTATTAAATGCTATTAATTATGGCAGCCTCAGTTTACATATAGAAACTATAGAACCTAAATACGTCATTTTCTGCACATTTAAGATCACAATTTCTACTTATTTGCTGAACTGAACATATTGGAAAATGGTATGAAATGTGCCAGAACTTTTGCACTGGCCACATTTTATGTATTTTTTTTTGCCAATATGTAAACTTCAGCAAATAAACAGTCATTGTGCATTCAATGTGAAGATGTCTGGTCCCTGTAGACGGTGTGTTAACTTATTTTCGCCAAACCATCGCAAATACTCTATGTACTCATCTGTCTTTATATGTGTGGTTGTTTGTATGTGAAACCGTTTTTGAGAGGTCATTTCTGCCTTCAGACCCCTTGGAAAAGCTCTGATAAACAATGCAGCTCTTGTTCCTTTAAACGGAGCGAATTCTAATATCCAAATATAAGTCAAGCACTCCTGCATCAATACAGGCAACAGCGCACCTTCAGATTCATCACCCTCTAATCCTGTTCTTTTATTTATGAAGAGGTGACGGCATTAGCCGGCTGAGCAAGGGGCTGTGAACGTGTTTGTGTGTGTGTGTGAGAATGTGTTACACCTCTACAGACAGGCAGCGTTAGGGGCTCGGGAGGTCTGCTGCCGTGAAAGTGTAATCCTTCATTAGCGAAGACACAGCACAATAGCCAGGCGCCGAAATTACAGCCAAACGCATGACCACCCTAAGACCACTCGGGCTATCCTTAAAAGCAGCAATTGAGGATGTTCTTACTGGTGGGTGTGTCTGCTGTGGAGGAAGTAGGATGTTGTGGATCCCAGTGCAAAAAAATTTTTACTTTTCAACAAAAAAACAACTGTGGAATTTTCCTGTTTGCTATTGTTGCATATAAAACAAGCTGATGATCTCAAGGCATGTCAGTCCACCCACTAGCATCTAACTCTAAGTGTTTGTTATTTTAGAATGATTAATAAAGAAAATATGGTTCTGCATGTTGTGAAACATCTGTTTGGAAATGGTTTCCATGGATGAGATGCATTATGAATAAGAGGGAGATAAACAGACAGCAGGATTGTCTGTATAGTGTTAATGGAAGCTAACAAGAAAGGCTTGTTCTTAAGAAATTGGATCTTTCGGTGAGTAATGAGTGTACAGTTGTGTCAGTACCTACATGAGGGGCCAAACAAAGATTTACCATGCCCCCTTTGCCATTGGCTCCAATATGATACAGAATTCTGTGCTCAATATGTTCAGTATGTCTTTGTAAAGAAATTAAGCTTTAAGATCAAACAGGTTGAACAGCTCCTGTTGTTGCCATCAGGCTTTATTGAGCACTTTGGATGGTGATGGGCTGGTTTTGGTCTATTTCAGAAAGAATTTTGTTGGACTCGGTCAGTATAGGACTCAAAACCTGATATCGCTCAGGTCAGGTCGGGTTTGGGCAAATCCTGCCAGACTCAGGTTGGGTTCAGGGCTTGATGCCATCTAGTCGCTGATCATGTGATTATGACACTAACGACATGGACGACTGATGAGAAGCCAGATTTTGGGGTCTATGTTTCTGGTTTCCTGAAAACTAACAATGCAATCCAGGGCTTGTTGGAAAAGGCAAACTGGAATGGGCACCTCTATTGACCTGTGGAGTTTGGCTTCATTCTCACTATTCTCTGCTGATCTACAGCGCTTTAAAGATCAGACATTGAAAGTCTCTATTCTCAAACACTACTAAAAAGTCATAGTAGTTGGAGAGGTGGCATAACACCCTATAATCTTGTAAAGTTTGATAGTTATGGTGCTCTAAACTGCTCTGGCTCCTCAGACGTCCAGCGCAGACGAACATCTTGGCAAGGCAACGTAGTGTGCTAAATCGGATACAAATTTGCAAGATTCCGGGGTCCGTATCTCCGGTTCACTGAAGGCTAGGAATGCAATCCAAGGCTTGTTGGAAAGGGCACATCACCCTCTAATGATCTCTGGAGCTTGGCTTCGTCAATTCTTTAACATTGTTTGTTGCAAAGTATTCTCTTCTCCTGTGGTTTTATTTATGACATCACCAGCGATAAGTTGATGACTTTTAATCCCACAATTGTCGACTACAAAAAATGTTAAGTTCTGCAACCCTTACTTCAGACTCAAAACTAAGTGCTGTGCTCCAGGTCGGGTCTGGGGGAAAAAAAAAATAAACCTGTCTGGCTCAGGTTGGGTTCAGACTCAAAAACTTAATGATGTGGGTTGGCCTGGGTTAGGTCTAGATCAAATTTTGCTGGGCTGGTGTCCAGTTCAGACTGAAATTTAATGCTGTGGGTAAGGCTGATTGGGCTTTGGCAGAAAGTTCTTTAGTTGTTGAATTTTGCTGGACTCAGGTTAGTACTGGACTCAAAACCTGATGTGGTTCAGATCAGGTCAGGGCAAAATTTTGTTGGTCACGGCACCACAGTGCTGTGGTTTGGGTTGGACAGACAGTCAGGCTTGAGGCCTGTTGTCCTGTTCAAAATTTAATGCAGCACGTCAGGTTGGGTTGGACTCAGAAAGTTTTCAGGGTGTATTTGGCTTTGTGCCAAAATTTCAGTCCCGATTAAAGGTCTAGTGAATATTTACAAATGTAATTGTGAGAAAGAGAACTGAAGGATATTGCTAAGCTACCTAAAGATGTGTTATGGATGGGTGAGGAAAGTGCTGAGCGCTGTAACGATCTGTTAAATGGTAAGAAGCTTCATGTATGTATATTTGGCATGATGCCTTATTAGTATAGTTAGTTGGGTATAGTTAGGCTGCATAGAGATCGGCTTTGAGGTTGCTGTGGTTACGAGATTGTGGTGGTTAGGGAGTTCAGGAGAACATCTGCAGAGTATTGTAGCAAATGATACAGCTACATGATACTCAATACATCTCTACTGGCCAAAACTACTGCAGCAGTGTGCCAACACCACATACTGTCAACTTGAGTGTGGTCTAGTTTTACATAGACAATGCGTTTAAAAGGAGTGTCTTGATAAATCTAATTTATACAAATTTCCAGTCACCTAAGGCGTAGCCATGTCTCAGGCAAGATATGTTCGTGTCCAAATTTTGCTTTAGTTTAGCGCTTGAGCTATGAAGCTGACGATGCTAACCCCAGAGGTCAATAGTCACCCAAATCTCTTCTGCAAAAACTTCTCTCAACTCTCTTCATTAAGGTTGCCCAGACTTGTTAATGTGGTTTGAGGCACAATATGACTTACTATGAACAAATAAAATGAAAACTTCACAGAGTAGCTGAACGCTGGGAATAGCCTTTAGAAAACAGGTGCTGTGCCGAAACCGGCACTATGTTCTAAACCAAACTGCCAAGTCTAATTTCCACAAATTTCCACTCACCCCAGACGCAGTCAGCCAACCAAGACATGTTCTGTGTCCAAATTGTGCTTCTTTAGTTTAGCACTGGAGCTATGAGGCTAACGATGCTAACACTAGAAGTCAATAATCACCCAAATCTTTTCTGTAAAAACTTGTTTTAACCCTCTTCATTAAGGTTGCTCAGACTTGTTGATGTGGTTTAGAGCACAACAAGACTTACTGTGAAGTATAAAAATGAACAAAACTTCACAGAGTAGCTGAACGCTGGGAATAACCGTTAGAAAACGGGTGCTGTGCCGAACTAACCCTATGTTCTAAATCAATGGTTCCCAACCTTGGAGGTCCTGCAGGACCCCCTACCCTGTACAGTTTTGCGTTTTCCTGCCACAACACACCCAATTCAACTCAAGAAGTGCTTGTTAATTAGAGGATTGGTTGGATCAGGTGCGATGGGAGCAGGTCAAACACTAAAATGTGCAGAGCAGGGGGTCCTCCAGGACCACGGCTAGGAACTATTGTTCTAAACCAAACTGCCAAGCCTGTAGAACCTTAACGAAGACCTGAATGCGGTTTGAACAGGGTAAGAGAAGTGTTGGGGATACACTAGTGGAACTTTTTTTGGGTGACTATTGACTTGTGTTTATTGTGAATGTTGATCAACTCCACCTGGGATAAGTGGAAAACTGTAAATTTGATTTTGTTTACCAAACCATTTCTTTACCAGTGCTTGTAAATTTACAAAAGTGATACAATAATAAGAATACCATAACCTACATGGTCAAGCTCTTGAGCTTTTGTGGTGCTGCAACACTGCAAAAACAGAGGAGAAAAGGGTTAAATGGAGCTTATTCAGGCAGAATCTGAGCCTGGGAAAGGTGATTCCTTCTCCACGGCGTGCATGATTTTGGTTAAATTACCTCTTTGCCATTAATGCAAAGTCCGAAATTTGAAGAAGCATCTAGAGAACCTCTAGTGCTCTCAATTCTGCTTGCATTGATGTTCAATGGGTATATATCTACAACAATGTTAACAGCTTTATATTAGCTACATTAGTGTGAAGCAGATTGATCGGTCGATTGCTACCGCATGCTCAGCTATGGGGTCTGTGGGGTTACAATGGGGTCAGGATAAGCTGGGTTCAGGGTCAGGTCAAAATAGGGCTTTAAGTCTCTTACATCGCTCTCTCGGGTGACGACGGGACGCTGCCGTTACTGAGAGAAAAGGAAAATAAGACACAGACGGTTAAAATGCTTTCAGAAGAAACTCTTCAGAGAGATGGCATCACTGTCTCAGCTCATTTCACTCTCCTCAAGCTGAAACCATGGATGTTTTGAGCAATAATGAAACACCATTTACATGATGCACAAGCAGATACTAGCTGCTCAAACCCATGCCATGATAAAGGTATTAAGATTCTGGCAAACACATCAAACTAGTCTTATCAGCTAAGACTCAGCTACACTTGCAGTTATCACCACAAAAGGTAGGTGTATGTGTACCTGCGGAGTCCTGCATCTCCTGCCTCCTCTGGAATAAGCTCCGCCTCGCTCTGAGCGATACGCAGAGCCAGCTCTCGGTCCCTCCTCTCCTGTTCAAGCACCGCCTGCCGGGCCGCCTCCTCCTCTCGCTCTGCCTCCAGCTGCCGCTCCATCTCCTCCTACGGGAGCAAAGTTTAACACATCAGATGTAAAACATATAATACAAAATGTGCCATAACTTTTGCCCAGACCACATTTTATCTTTCATTTTTTTCCTTGTATGTTAAATTCAGCTAATAAACAGTAATTGTGCATTAAAATGAGTAGAAGTGTGTTCTTTGTAGAGGATGTACTTATTTTCACTTAGTAGATCAAGGAAACACTGAGCGCATTTACATGCACTCAATAATTTAATTATAATCAGATTTCTGCAGTTATTCAATTATTCAAATGGTCAGGTAAACACCATACTACAAACTAGATTAAATCCGATTAAGTCTGATTCTCAGTCTGCGCATGTGCGGAACTGACTGCTGTACTAGAAATAAGTAAGCAGTGTTGCCGCGAGAAGCAGCAAAACACTTTTGAAGTGACGGTGAAACCAACTACATGCTTGACAAAAATGAAGGATTTAAATATTCTTCATCATCTAGATGATGTATGTTCATATTTTCAGGTAAAGTGGTGCCATGTGCCAAAAAAAAAAAGCCACGACATGATATTTGAGTTTTACATTTCGTTACGTCACGTCTTTTTCTGTGAGATTATTGGCCGATTGCAAAGCAGAAATCTGATTACTACCTGATTTATGTAGACCCGGAGTTTCCCATTATACTCAAGCGCATGTGGTGTTGATCGGATTACTGACAAAATCTGATTTTCTACAGTTATCGGATCATTAAGTGCATGGAAACGCACTCACTGATGTTTGACCAACGGCGCCCAAACTTTTGCATAAGACTGCCATTCAGTATGATGAAATACTTCCACTAGTGCAGTGTTTACTGGAGCCAGTTTTTTTTGCCCTCTAGTTTGTGCCAATGGCACATTGTACCAAAATTCATATTTTCAGCTCTCAAAACTATATTAAATTTCTTTGTCCCAAATAGGGGTTGGACAGAACAGATGACTAATAAATCCACTAGTTGGCGCTGTGACTAGTACCTAAAATAAAATACAAAGTGGTAAACACTACAGTGAAGAGGCTAGAGAGGAGAGAACAGAAATCTTTTTTCTCCTGAGCACGATTTGAGCGTGCAGTTCACATCAGACAGTCTGTGTACATCTGCAGAGTGCCTCACGCTCAGGCTTCTGAGTTCAGGCTCGGTAGTTCATCCAGGGGGATGAATCTACTGGTAAATATGTTGAAAACACAGAAAAGAAGATGCCCACCTTGTGTAAGGGCTTTCCTTTAGTTAGAAAATAAATATATATATATATATATATATTTTCCCCCAAATTAATTCAAAATTATTCAAAGGTTAATTTCTCTCTTATGGGCAGGGGGTCCCTTTACTCTAACGCCCATGTGTCAAACGCAAGGCCTGTGTGTCAGATCAGGCCCATGACGCAATCCTCTCCGGCCCGCAAAATACTTTTAATTTTCTATTACTATTAGCTTGTTTCACAATGCGCTGCACTACATTCGCCAGCATGCACTGCAACGTAATGTGTTTCAACTCTCCCACCCCAACAACATTCTATGGGACAGCAGTTATACCTCAATTCTACACAAATCCACACCAGTCATAACACCAAACACACCAGCTGCATTTCAACTGCAGTTCAACCAACATAAACACCGAACGTCAGCTCAACAGCTCTGAAACTGAGTCCCAAGCAAGATGAGAATGTTTTCATCTTTGGTTTCAACCATTTTTAGGCAAATCTCGCAGACCACTGCATCCCTTACCATCCACCTCCACTGATAAACAGGGAATGTGTGGGATGTGTTTATTTCGCCATTTACTAGACAGACGTGGCACAGAAATTTGGCACTGCAATAATTTGGAAACACCACCATCATTTTGAATTACCGCCATCATTTTTCACACCGTGGTTCGCTTTATCAACGTTATACCGCTCAACTCTAGTCACGTTTTCACCTTCAAATGAGAAAGTGGTCAGATATACAGAGATAACACTCAGCCAGCAGCTGCTTGCCTTTGCCAAAGAAGCGTTTTGCATTTACAGGATGTCTTTACACTTTAACGGCTTTAGGCACGACTCTCCAAACTCTCACTCTGTCCCGAAAGGAACTAAGCACTGAAGCATGGAGGCCTGACTGAGGCTCTGTTTAGGCTGTAGGCTGTGGTGCTTAAATCCGCTTTGTTTCTCCTTCTCGACCACAGCAGATGTGTGTGTTCAGCCCCGCTGTGGGCTCGTGTGTGGGAAGCGTGCGAGGGGAAGAAAGCGGAGGGCCGACAGAGTTCATATGAACTGAAATGCTCACTGCAGGTGAGGAGAGGTCGAGCAGCGCCAGTCTGAACTCATTATGGGCAGAGAGCGTCCGTCCTCTCTGTCGAATAACTAACTGCAGCAGCTGCAGATACTTTAAACGATCAGAGAACCTCCCCCTCACCAGCTCTGTCCACACAGCGAAAACTCACTGACCACAGAGAGAGACACCAGCACAGGACCTGAGAGAGAACTACTTTATATCCACTGTCATAGCACACATCTTCTACAGGGAGAGAGAGATAGAGAGAGAGAGAGAGAGAGAGAAGCGAGAGAGAGAGAGAGAGAGAGAGAGAGAGAGAGAGAGAGACAGACAGAGAGAAGAGAGGGGAAAGAGAAAGCCAAAAGGAAGAGAGAGAAAGAAAAGAGGCAGAAAGGAGGAGGGAGAAAAAAGATAGAAAAGTGAGAGGGAGAGAGTGAGTGAGACACATCAAGAAGAAGAAAACAAAGAAACAGACACAGAGAGGAAAGAAAGAAAGAAAGGAAGAAAGAAAGAGACGGAAAAAGGAAAGAAGAAAGAGGGAAGTAAGGAGAAAGATAAGTGTGAGAGAGAAAGAGACATAACAATGGAAAAAAGAAAGAACAGAGAGAAAAAACAGAAAGAAAACATGAGAAACAGAAAGAATAAAGAAACAGACAGACAGAAAAGAAAGAAAGAGAGAAAGAAAGAAAGAAAGAAAAAGGCAGAGAAAGGAAGGGAAAAAAGAGAAGAGGAAAAACAGGTTGAGACAAAGAAAAAAGCAAGAGACACAAAGAAGAGTGACAGAAAAATACAGAGAGATAAAATTAGAGACAGAGAGAGAGAGAGAGAGAGAGAGAGAGAGAGCGCAAGAGAGCGAGAGAGAGAGATATTTTGCCACCCACTTTATCTTAAGCGTTCGCTTCATAACTTATCTAAAGTCCTGATGTCTCTCGTCAAGGGCAAAAAACTCTGCAGCGTTTCGCAGCGTGTAGAGAAAAGATTCAGCCAACTGGACGCAGTGGTATATTTTGAGGAAGGGCGTGGTCAAGCCTTAGGCAGGGTGACCTTCAGTACTGAGAAATATCACCATCTCCTCTCCTCCACAATGTATTCTGCACCATCCACCTCTCTCTCTCTCTCTCTCTCTCTCTCTCATGACTCAGCTGGCTAATGAAGTTGAGATGAACTATGTAAGAGCAGACCAGAGGCACCGTTATCATCATCCATCACAGACTGAGGGAGTGAATGAAAGAGTGGGTGGGATGACTGACCACCTGGCTATCTTATCTCTCCATCCACCCATGGCTACATTATTAGTCCTTATTCATCTGTCCATCATTTACCAAAGAGCCTATGAACCTGTCTTTCTCCACACTCACAGGCCACTTTATTAGAAACCCCTACCTGCTGGTGTACACTTGGTGATATTAGCTCATCTTTTGATGCACACTGTGTTAGCCAATCTCTAGTCTTAAAACAGTGGTCAGTTTCCGAGCCCTGACAGCAACACTCGTTCCAGAATCACAGTCTACCATGTCAGTGTCACTGCTGTGCAGAGAATGGTCCACCACCCAAATAATATCTGACTGATAAACTGTGCAGCATCAGATGAGCTTCATTCTGTGACTGTGCATCTATATTTTGGACCTACAGTGTAGGTGGACCTCACAGTGGCCAGTGAGTGGAAGTACAAGGAAGGCGTTTCTTATAAAGTGGCAAGTGATTGTACACACAAGGTAGGTGTTTCTAATAAAGTGGCCAGTGAGTGGAAATAAGGTAGGTGTATCTTACAAAGTGGCCAGTGAGTGGATGTACAAGGTAGGTGTTTCTAATAAACTGACCAGTGAGTGGACATACAAGGTAGGTGTTTCTAATAAAGTGGCCAGGGGAGGAAATAAGGTCGGTGTTTCTTACTAAGTGGCCTGTGAATGGACACACAAGATAATAATTTTCTAATTTCTAATAAACTGGCCAGTGAGTGGACAAAATAGGTAAGTGTTTCTTATAAAGTGACCAATAAGAGGAAATACAAGGTAGGTGTTTCTAATAAAGTGGCTGGAAGTATCAGCTAAGTGTTTCTTATAAAGTGACCAATGAGTGGAAATAGAAGGTAGGTTTTTTCATAAAGTAGCAGCTGAGTGGACAGTTAAGGCAGGTGCTTCTAATAAAGTGGTGTGTGAGTGTACTTCTCTATCTGCATCCCTCCATTTGTTCATGTCAGCTTACAGACCAGATGCTTTTCACTGCTTTGTTCCTCTATAAGCAGCGCAATAATGTTTCCAGTGACTCAAACAGCATAAAGCCCTCTGATCCTATCTAATGGTTGTAAATAGGGTTGTAGATGGAGCTGCTCTCCCCGAAGCGGAGCTGTGAGTGCCAATGTTCCAGCGTGAACCTGAGGTGAGAACGCTTAATTTGCAACAGCTCCACTGCGTGTTTGTTTAGAAAGCCTGAGGACGCTACAGTGTGCATGGAATGGATGATGCTCTTTATATAGATAGAGAAACAAAGAGAGAGCGAGAGCGAGAGCGAGAGAGAGAGAAGCCCTGGGCTATACCCCTCAGGCCAGAGGTTCTGATCACAGGGACTAAAGCAGCCTCAAGCATGATCTACACTGAAGCGCTCTTTTCCTTACAGGAAAAAAGGAGGACACTGGTAAAGAAAAAAGACAGAGTTATTTTAATTTAGTGGTTTTAATATAGATTTAGATTTTATTTATTCACTGAACTTTCAGACTTTTTTTTTTTGTCTTTTGTTTGTTTCATTTTTAGAGATGTATTAAGCAATTCCCAGGTAGTTGCTAGGCTGTTGCCAAAAAGGTTACTATGGTATTTTAGGTGGCTGCTAGAGTGTTGCTAGATGGTTGCTATATGATTGCTAGAGTATTGCTAGGTGGCTGCTTTGGAATTCCAGGTGGCTCTTTGGGTGTTGCTAGGTGGTTGCTAAGGTGTTGCCTGATGTTTAGTATGGTATATCTGTTGGTTGCTAGGGTTTTGTTATGCCACCCAAGGTGGATGCTAGAGTGCTGCTAGCTGATTGTTGTGGTATTCCAGGTAGTTGCTAGGGTCCTGCTATGTGGTTGCAATTGTATCCCGAGAGGTTGCTAGAGTGTTGCTATGTGGTTCCTATGGTATTCCAGGTGGTTGCTTGGGTGTTGTTATGCTACCCAAGGTGGTTGTTAGTTTGCTGCTAGCTGGTTGTTCTTGTATTCCATGTGGTTGCTAGGGTCTTGCCAGGTGGTTGCACTGGCATCCTCAGAGTGTTGCTGGGTGTTTGCCATGGTGATCTAGGTGGTTGCTACAGTGTTGCCAAAAGGGTTACTATGGTATTTTAGTAGTTAGGTGGTTGCTATGGTATAGCAGTTGTTTATAAGAATGTTGTTAGGCAGGTGCTATGGAATCCCCTATGGATTTTGGGCTGTTGCTGGTGAACTTGCATTATTAGCCACGTTTACATGCAGCCTCATAATCCATTAATAATCCAACTAATAGCTCAATCGGAATAGTATACGTCCATATAGACACCTCAATCGGAATAGACTAGTCCGATGGAGACCATTCAGAATATAATTTGTATCTGATTGAACGAGGTGGGTAATCCTGTAAATAATCCGTTAAATAGAAGGATAATAACCATGTAAATGCCTGTATCTGATTACATTCCCCTTCGGAAAGTTTAAGTACGTTCTGAGCATGTGTGTCGTGTCATAGTGAAAGTTTATATCGTTTAACATGGCGGGAGCAGAAACTGGTCTGCAGAGGGGACGAACTTTATGCTTTGAGTTTTAAAAGATGGCGGTGGGACGAGCGTCCAGCTTATGTGTCTCAGAACACGACGTCTTCCTCTCGGCCTTCTTTAATAAATACATGTGAAGGATGTTTTCCTGAGTCTGACATCATTTTAAAGTAATTAAAAACACAAGCACTGCTCACTGCTGCTCATCTCACTCTGACTGGACTCACGTGATGCTTGCTGTCATGGTAACGTCTACACTAAGCGGTACTCTATGCATGCGCGTCATTTTGGATCTGTTTACTTGTAGTGAGCATGTAAAAAGAGATTTTCCATCAGATTGTTGAGTAGAGTGAGCAGATAAACACCTCTGTCTTAATCTATAATCGGAATGTATTCAATCAGATTGCATGTAAACATAGACACTGTGATGTAAGCAAGGTGCACAAACTTTTACCCACACAGTTCCACCATTCATTACTACAGGAAAACAGAAATTTAACGATCATTGTATGAAAACAGTGTGTCCAATCAAAAAGCTGTGTACAATTACAGCATTATCAAACCGTACATTTCGGAATTGGAATGGTGTTTTACCTCAAAAACTGCGGAGTGAGTTAGTGGACAAAAATCGGACAGAAGAAAAAGAGGAAGAATATGCAGTTGGATGGCAATAGTGTTGAACATTGCTTTACAATGTGCCATCACTAATAAACTTAGAGAAGAAGTAAGATAAACAGAGGAGAGAAAGTCAAACAGTGAAACTATATAAAAAAGACAAACGAGTTACAAAAACTACAGACAAGAAAAGCCCCTCACCCTGCCTGGCTTGATCAGACATCACGACAAGAGGCAGCAGCACACGCCTCATCCACCACTGATTGAGCAAGAGTGGCCACTACTCTCTAAGACCACTGTTCCAGGAGAAATCAACTCACCTGCAATCTCCTCTCCTCTTCTTCTCTCTTCTTCCTTTCCTCTTCCTCCTGCTTCCTCTTCAGCTCCATCTCCGCTTTTCTAAGAAGGGGGGGATTAGAATGAGAGCAAAAAAAGGTAAGAAAGTCAGACTAAATACAGAATATACAGACGTAATAAATCAATGGAGAAACAGCAGCTCATTATTGGTGCATCAGTCACAATGGCCTCTCCTTCCACTGCAGAGCTGAAAGGTTTCGAGCACGGCCAATAACCAGTCCAGGGGCATTTCCACAAGGACATGATTCGATACGGAACGCCTGCTGAGCACAGTTTCCTCGACATGGTTAGCTAACCACGCTCAGGGCCACAGAGCCATTGCTGAGTGGTTCTATGTTTCCATTTGTATTATATCACTTCTAAACTAAAAACATGAACGCTCAGTTCACTCACACCAGGGTTCAGCTCCGGAGCCGCATACCGCTCTTCTACTGTCCTGTTGTGGCTCCACAGCAGAATTAAATTTTCAGGTAGAAATAAAATAATCCTCCTTTGCAGTAAAATAAAGCTCTGTTGATCTTTCTAACACTGTTTTAGGAATAAATGGTCTTAAACGCTGGAGTTAATGTATAACTGCTAATCCATCCTTTAACCCTGAAGGTTGGCGTGCAGACTGCTGGTCACATAGCAACGCAGACAGCAATCTCACCTAGCTAGTATCGATCATTTTTAGACAAATGGACTTATTTGCATTTATAATCACTCCAGCTGGTTTTCTGATAAGTTTAATCTGCAATGAGAAACTGACAAACACTCAAAAGTCACTAAACTGAAGTCAGCTTCTCGTTGCCAGCTTCTCATTTTGAATTGTCCCGTTCCACCTTGTGCAGCGGTTACATTCTGGAGCCTTAGACACCATTTAAGGTAGAACAGGAAAATTCAAAAAAGAAGCTGGTGAATGAGAAGCGACTTCAGCCTCGTAAAAAGTCGAAAGCTAAGAGACATTTTACAAGAAACTGTTCTACTTTTGAGGGAAAGTTTCCTGCTGGAGATGCAAGAAAAGCAGCTATAGCTGAGCTAAAGCTTAAAGTCTGTGTTTTCGTTTTATATTTTTAGCCTACACTCGTACATCAGCACATACTGAGATATATTTACAGCTAAGATGGTAAAATGTACATAAAATGTTGTGGCTCCCAATGTGGTTTGGTTTTTGTTGAAAGGACAAAATGGCTCTTCTTAACATTTGGGTTGCTGATGCCTGGCTTACACCAAATAAATGGAAACAGCACACAATTTTCAATTGACATCAGTCTAATAACAACTGTTGAGTGTTCAATAGTACTACTAAGTAGAAAAAAGGAGCCAGATAGCATTAGCTAACAGATCTGCTCACCACTGAACAGGTTCAATTCTGGCTATTCTGAGGGCAGTGGCCTACTTGTTAGCAGGAAAAGCCGGTCCACAACTACATAGAGAGGGGTGTTATAGTGGGGCTGCAGTGCATAAACCCCTCATTATAAAGACAAATGTACATGTCAGAGTTCAGTGGTCTAAAAATAGGCCATAGGCACTCATTGGTAACAGTTCACTAGAACTCTGCTATGTATCATTGACATAATCATGTCATGGCCTAATATCGTAGGCTGTCATGAGTTGCCTTGATGGGTTTTGTTCATTAATATAACCACAAACGATACATCGATATAATTTTTTTCATTTTTTCCTACCTGCCAATACTGATACCAAAATGAGTAACCTACTTAGAATTAGTCGTACTTGTTAGTGTAAATAAATGTTAAAATGAAGAGCATTAGTCTATGGCTACGTTCACACAGCAGGTAAAAGTGACCCAAATCTGATTTTCTCACCAAATCCGATTGTTTTTGTTTGGCTGTTCACAATGTCTTTTAAATGTGACCTACAGGCGACATTAGTCTGATCAGATCACGCTCTCAAACTGACCCGCATACGCAAAAGAACAATGCTTCACGTGGCTCATCCAGAGATAAACAATCATGGCTGCCAATGAACACCAGTAGCTCCCGGAGGTTTCAGTTTCATCTTCTTCAGTATCACAGGAGCCATCATGAAGCTCCAACGACTGACAGCTGGGCTCATCGGTCACTTTGGATTGCGTCTTTGGATTCTTTTTGTTTTTAGACTTTTCCTTGATGCTGCAGCCTCACTCTCCTACAGCCATGTTCGACCATTTCTCTCAAAATCTCTTCAAACATGGAGCAGCTGCAATAAGTGCCTTCTAATTTTTTGGTACAGAAACATCAGCCTAACTGTTTATGAGGTCTCAGCAGTGTGAAATGATGATGAATGTTAAGCTGAATTGACGTAAAAGTTGTATGAATTCCTCAAATCGTAATTGAAAATGTCAGATTCAGCGTGATTTTTGCCGTTCACACTGCCACACAGATAACACATATGTGTCACATATGAAGGAAAAGATCAGATTTGGGCCACTTTCACCTGCTGTGTGAACAAAGCCTAAGTTAGTTATCTTGGATCGAGTTGGGTTGCAGTGGAAGAGGGCGTTTGTTCCATGTCAGAAAAGAGCTACTACACAGCTGTATGTGTAAGTATGTTTCATAGTTTTGATCCCCACTTCTCATTTGTCTCTTTTAACAATGTGGCTGTAGGAATCACCTCCTAATCAAGGCTAATGCATCCAAAAAGCTCACCTGCTGTGTTTTACGTCTTGCTGGAGTCTTTTGTTTGGTTGGCTGAACTGTAGCCAAAAGTCCACTAAAGCTAAGAAAATGCTTTGTGATTTTACATTTTTTTTAAATTAGTAGACCACTGTGTACAGACAAAGCCTGTGACGCTGGGCTCGATTGACAGACTGTGACATGGGTGTTCACACTGCACATAAAATGCAGCGTCTACAGGCAGCTCTGCACCAAGCAATTGTGCTGCAGCATCTTTGCTAACTTGTGCCACACTGTACACCGACACTGAGATGAGTCGTTCTTTACCCTGTCCTCCAGTGGGTGAGTGCATGTGTGGTGTAAAGATATAAATCAAATGCTGTGGCTAGGGCTGGGCGATAAAACGATAACGATAATTATTGCGATATAACTTTTCCTCGTTAGAGCGATACGACATGTTCGATAAATGTTCGATATAATACACCGTTCTCACACTTCCACGTTCAGCGAAAGCCTTGGTGGCATTTTCTACTGCAAGGAAAGCGACACTACTCTGCTGTCGCCAGGAGAGGGCGCACTTCCGAGTTTTTCTACATGATTTAGAGAGGGAGGGGGCCACGAGTAAGATGAGTCTTTAGCAACGGCTGAAACGCGAAGTTATACATTCCCTGTTTGAGCGGAGCGACAGGCGATCTGTTCTCCTGTGACCGAGCGTGAGTGACGAGGTCAGTGGTGTAACTATACTGTCCTACAGCGAACTCACCTCTTTCCGTATATCCTAACAGCTTTAGCAGCGTTAAATCACAATCCTCACAACTACAGCGCTGTTACAGAGCTCGGATGGTCATAATTTAGTATTAGTGCATTCCCAAGCAACGAAAGTGAAAGAAAGAAGTGGGTTCATGTAAATTACAGCCCTGATTTAAACGAAAGTAAACTGAGGAAGCTGTGAGGCATTGGAGAGCGGGAGAGCGCTAGCTTTCCAGGCTAGCTGTTTTTAGCAGCTGGCTAACTTAAAGCAGCACTTCGTCACTGCACGACACGGCGAATTAATGATACTGTAGATCAAACACGACACAAAAGCACCGCTTTCAGTTTAAACATACCTAAAAGGAGGACTCTGTTTGTCTAGTGTTGATATTTTGCGGTTCACCACTTAAACTACTACATTAGTATAGAGGAATCCAGTCGTCGCTAGCTGGTGTTTGAATACTGTGATGTCGTTTGTAACAGGGTAGCCGAGCGCTCGTCACCAGCTAAAAATAATCTGTTTTCTTTCTTAAATTATGACTATTACAAAATAGCCGTGCTTTTCCAGCTGGTAAAAACAGCTCAGCAGACACTTTCTCCCACTCTCCCATTACAGATTTGTGACATGTTCCACTGTTTGGCGAGTGTTCATCATGTTCAGACCATAAAGGATAGTTTAAAACAGCAGTTAACCACCCAGGAGCAAAAATCAGCGTTCAAACTTCAAAGAAATAATGATTTGACATTTATCGCGATATGTATCGATATCGAACAATATAAATTTTGTTTATCGTGATAACATTTTTGGCCATATCGCCCAGCTCTAGCTGTGGCCTTTGCAGTCAGTGGATCTGAACCCAGCTGAACATCTGTGAGAGATTTCGGATTAGCTAAAATGCTCCATTTTCTGATTTGATTATTCTGTAACATGGCCGGACTCTGAAACAAGCTTCGGCAAAACAACCACAGCATTATATGTTAAGGCAATAACGAAGACTGAATTGAATTGAACTGTACTGAATTGAATTGAAAAAGTGATGGTGGGTAAAGACAGAGAGAGAGAGAGAAAATAAGGGAGTGTGTGAGAGGGAGGGAGAGCGTGAGAGGGAGGGAGAGCAAGTATGCATGGAAACGAGTGTTAAAGAAGGGAACAGAGAGAGAGAGTGAAGTGAATGTACATAATGGAGACAGGATCTTTTGTTCTGTAGCCGGGAACGAGGAAGGTCAGTCACAGAGAGAGAGAGAGAGAGAGAGAGTACAGAGCACCACTGGTGACATCGTGTATAAATAAAAATAACGCATGGCCACGACTTAGTAAGGCGTGGGAATGAGATGATTAAGTCATAGCCATGACTTACTAATGCGTGGGAACGAGATCCTAATGCATGGCCAAGACTTAGTAAGCCGTGATCTCATTCCCACGCCTTACCAAGTCGTGGCCATGCATTAGGATCTCGTTCCCATGCATTAATAAGGTGTGGCCACGCATTATTTTTATTTATACAGGATGTCATCATCAGGGCTCCGTAAGAGAGTGAGATAGAGAGGGCGAAAGCAAGAGAGAGCCAGGGAATGAGAGAGGGCCAGAGATTGAAAGAAAGAAAGAAAGAAAGACAGAGAGAGAGAAAGAGAGAGGCGGCTCTGCCACAGTTACAACATTAATGTCCACTGTAGTGAGCCGGTCATTTCAGTGACCATTCCCAATCAATACAAACACTTCAAAGGGCGTCAGCTCAGACACTGTCCCGTCATGTCAGCCCTCTCTCTCCCGCTCTCTCAGTCTCTCTCTCTGCGTTTTACAGGGTGCGTGACTTTATTAATAACCCTGATGTGGCTGCGCTCCAACTCCACTGACTCAATTACTGTGTCGTTTATGCTGCTGTACTGTGCCCTTCATTGGAGGGGAAGGTGAGTGCTGAGGGAGTGGACTTGGCCCTCAGTCAGAAGAAGCCTTGGCCCTGTCCCAAACGGCTGGCATTAAGAGGCGCTGATTGGAGATGGAGCCACAGGGCTGCGGTCCCGATAAAGACTTTATGAGCCATTAACGGAGGACAGTGATGACAAGCATGCCAAGTGAGTCCTTCCATCTGTCTGTCTTCTACCTATCTATCTATCTATGTAGATCTCTCTCTGTCTGTCTGTCTGTCTGTCTGTCTGTCTGTCTGGTCTACCTGACCAGGCCAGTCAATTCTCTTTCTGTTCTTTCTTTGCTTTCTGTTTCTCTTCAAGCCTGTATATCCATTTTTCTTTCCTCTCCTCTACCAGTCTGGACCCATCTATCCCCCCCTGCTTTCTTTCTTCTCTTCCTTCTTTCATTCACTCGGTCATTATTTCTTTTTTCTTCTTTACTTTCCTTCTTTTTTATTTGCCTCCTTTCATTCATTCTTTTTCTTTAATTCTTTTTCTTCCCTTCTTTCTTTCATTCCTCCATTCTTTTTCTTCCTTCTTTCTCTGTTTCTTTCCTTCGCTTTTCCATTTTTTTCCATCTTTCATTCATTTGTTTTTCTTTTCTTTATTTTACTCATTCTTACTTTATTTCTTTTCCTTCCTTTCATTCATTCTTTCTTTAATTCTTTCTACCCTTTTTTCACTCCTTTATTTATTTTCCTTCCTTCCTTCTTTTTTCTTTTCTTCCTTCTTTCTTTCTTTTCTTCCTTCTTTCAATCTTTTCCCTTCTCACATTCATTTTTATTATTTTTTCTTTCCTTCATTCTTCTTAAATCTGTATATTCATGTTTTCTTTCTTTTTACCTACCATCATGGGCTCATCTATCCATCTCTTTGTTTCTTTCCTTTTCCTCTTTCTTTCCAATTCTTTATACATTTTTTCTTTTGTTTCACTTACTGATTTTGGCCTATCTATTCAATAAGTTTCTGTCTTTACTCATTTATTTTACTTTCTTTTTCTTCCTAAGCCTACATATCCATTTGTTACACCTTTTTACTCCATTACTCTCTCTCTCATTCTTTGCATTCTGCCTGTTTAATCTTTTCTTTCTTCAGTTTAAATATCCATTTTTGGCCTTTTATTCCTCCAATGTAGACCCTTCAAATCAGCCCCCCTTCCCATCTGCTTACAGGCGTCTCTCCTCCTCCTCCTGTTTGCGGCGTTTCTCCTCCTCTTCTCTCCTCTTCCTCTCTCTCTCCATCTCCTCCTGGATGCGGCGCAGTCTCTCTCGCTCCTCCTCCTCCTGTTTCTGCTTCTGCATGGTGGTCAGCAACTTCTCAGAGCGGGTCACCAGAGCCTGGTGCTCGTGATCGATCTCAATCCGGCTCATGATGGTGCTCTGAGTACAGAAACACACAGCAGAGTGAGAGACCTCACTTACACACTTACACACAACACACACTTTCTGTAACAAGCTGGTGACACTGCTAACTTAAATATTATAAAACAGAGCAGTAAAGAACATTAAGAGGGCACAGACTGACCGTTTCTACATGTACAAATAGCTGAAAGAAACATTTTCTAGGCCTTCAGAGGAGGCCTAAAGATATCTGGGGAATGTTCGGGTCATTTTTGTTTAATATAATCATCACGTCACCACAGTATCAAATAATGGTGTTGTGAATAGCTACAGTTCACCTTAGGCGTTAGATTAACTACCAACATAATCAGAAAGTGACAGAAAAATCAATCAATCCTGTTTTGATTTACAATGGCTGGGAACAATTTCCTAAGAAAAATAATCACCCTTGCCTTCTGGAGGTTCTAGATACGTCACTGACTGTGAATATGAGCGGTACTCAAATGAGTTGTTAGAAGTGGAAAACAGTGGCAGCTCAATGCCAGAGTACCTCAGTGAAAAAGTCACTGTAAAACTCTAATATACATAGTAAACCATGTTAATGCCTGTCACAAACAGGGATAGACCAATATGAGAACGAATTGAGGGCCGATGTCGATACTGATGACGATACATAAACATTCTAAACTGTAGACATTGAGACCACATCTACCTGAATTAGCACCATATAACACTAAGGGTAAATATAACACTCATTTCCACAGGGTTTCAAATGCATTAGCATGTACAGAAAGTTATAAATGTTATAAATATTCTGCTCTGCTGGAGTACAAATACATTTGCCATCATTTATCTTTTTGAAATATCGGTCAGATCTAAACATTGACCAGTGCTGATTTTTAATTTTTTAAGCAATCATTTGTCAACACTGATTGACATCATCATGCAATCCTAGTTACAAGTTTAAAATGAAACATTTGAGATGTCTTTTACAACCTATAAATGTTTGTGTTTGTGGCCATGAAAGTTCATATGCACTACTGTTAGCTTAGCACTGCTGCACTATTAGAAATTCCATAGGAGTTGTTACGTCCCAAACTGAAGGCCTACCATTATGCAGGAAGGAAGGAAGGAAGGCAGGTAGGAAGGTAGAAAGGTAGAAGCGTAGAAAGGAAGGAAGGCAGGTAGTGAGGAAGAAAGAAAGAGAGGAAGGAGGGAAAGCAGGAAGTAAGGATAGAAGTAAAGTAGGAAGGAAGAAAAGTAGAAAGGAAGGAAGGAAGAGAGGCAGGAAGGAAAGGAGGAAGGCAGGATAGAAGGAAAGGAGGGAGGAAGGAAGAAAAGTAGAAAGGAAATCAGGAAGGAAGGCAGGAAATTAGGAAGGAAAGTAGAAAGGAAAGAAGAAATGAAGAAAAGCAGGAAGGAAGAATACACAGAAAGAGGGAAGGAAAGATAGTAGGAAAGAGGGAAGGAAGTAAGGAAGGAAGAAAAGCAGAAAGGAAGGATAGAAGGAAAGAAGGAGGGAAAGTAAAAAGGTACAAAGGAAGGCACAAAGGCAGGAAGTAAGGCAGGAAGAAAGAAAGAAGTAAGGAAAAAGAAGAATATGTGGAGGAAAAAAGAGGAAAAAAGAAAGAAAAAAAGGAGGCAGGAAGAAAGGAAGGAAAACAGAAAGAAAAGTAAGACGAAGGCAGGAAGGAAGACAGGAAGAAAGGTAGGCAGGAAGGAAAGAAGGAAGTCAAGAAGGAAAGAATAAAGAAAGGAAGACAGAATAGAAGGAAAAAAGGAAGTAAGACAGGAAGGGAGGGAATGAGAAATGAAGATAAATGGAATCTTTTACAGTGTTACAATAAAACCAAGCTTAAAAAAAAACAAACAAACAAAAAAAACAAACACCACGGTCTTCTAAAGTCCAAAGACATGGACTCAAACCCTCAGCCTCCTCCTTCCCGCTGCAGAACTCTCTGCTCTCCCGGGGAATCGGCAGCTGCAGTAAATTAAAGATAAAAGCTCGTCTCTGGGGATGCTGCTGGAGGCCAGTTACTGCAGACCAGGTACGACTCTCCACCTCCACTGCAGTGCTAACATCTGAAGCTGGAAAGCCTCTCAGTTCTTCACACCTCTCCACAACCGGACCTGATCCTGTCTCAGATCCTCAGCGCCCTACTCCCTCATTAGCCTCATCCATATTCATGAGTATTTAAGGTATTCGTGACGGCCTCCAATTTGGGCACCAGTCATGCTTACTTAACACTCGATGGTATCGATTTGAATATCAGAATCTGCGGCCAATGAGACGCAGATGCGAAAGCTGGTTAATATGCATCAGCAGCTGCCGAGATGGCAGCGCTCGACACATCTTGGAGAGCCGGGAAGAGGCAGCGACATATTCAAGAGGACGCTGGATATATGTCACGGTTTGTAATATATGCTACACGCATGCCTTACTTAATCAAGGTCAAAGACTGCGTCAAAAGTTACCAACTTTCTTACAGCAACAGTCTGTGATTCCACAGTTTTCGCTACTGCTGTCCATACAGTACTGTGCAAAAGACTTAGGCAGCCAAGAGGACTGTTTAAAACAAGTAATCTCAGTACTACGAGTGTTTTTGGCCAGTAAAAACACTATATAACATTGGAATAAATGCAAAGTTAAATATAATGCATTAAAAATAATGCATTAACACTGATTACATAAACTAGTAATTAGATGCTAACTGCAAATACTGAAGACTTCCTCAAGGAGAGCTTTGGAAATGTTTGAGCTAACATATTAGCATGAAATCACAATGTAGGCTTTATACATAATTAATTCTAATTGAACAAATAAATAGTTACCCTGCATTCACACCGGCAGTAAAGCAACGTGATGCGACAAGGCGGCCAGAGGGCATTTATTTTCAATAAGAACCGGCGATTTCCGCTGTCAGAAGGCAACGCAAACTTTGGCAACGCAAACTTTGGCGACGCAAATGTTGGCAAAGTCTGCGATGCGACAAAGTTCAGCTTAACGTCCGAACCAGTTTATGAGGAGCCTGGCCACTTCCTATTTCCTCCGTTATATCAAAAACAGGACTGCAAAACAGCAGAGGGCGCCCGCGAGTGAGTTCTCAATAAATAGGCGTAAACGGAGCTCAATGCCCAAAAACAAAAAGTTGAAATTTCTAATCACTCGCCCAGAACTTTCCTTTAATTTTAGAAAGTAGAAGGATTTATTTCACTAAAAAAGCAAAGAAAGCTTATCGGTATATTTCCTTTTTTCTACAGCAAACAGGATGTGGGCAGCAGGATGCTGGCATTACTGCTACAGAGTGCTGATTGGCTGGTGAGCGGAGCAGCTCATTGGTTGTTTGCGCTCACTGACGTCATGAAAGTACATAAGGCGCCGTTTTAAACTCCTATAACTCGAATTCAAAAGCTCTTAAAAATATAACAGCAGTGTGAAAATGTTTTATGCTGTTCAGTGTTCAGGAAATTAATGTATTCTTTTATACGAAAAATGTTTAAGCATTTATAAACTTCGATTTTGCCCAAATGCTCCAACCAAACCCATAACTTGCTCGGGAGCGCCCTCTAGCGTTCGGGAAACCTGGAAGACACTACAGAGCTCCCCTCTCTACAAGTTGTGAAAAAAATGTGTAAATGTTTTATTTTCAACTCACCCTTCTTGGCAGATCATGTGTACTCTACTAAGCAGACAATTTAGTATATCGACTTAGCATATACACCTCCCAAATTCCACTGCCCAAAATATCATTAAGAAATGGCAGTTTCTTAAAATGGCAATTTCTTAAAGAACTGTGGAAGACAAAGCAAGTTCTGGAAGACCAAGAAAACTCCCAGATAGAACGTGTATACTTGTGCTTGTATGCTGGTGAAAAAGGCAAAGCAAAACCCCCATATGACAGCACAGAGCCTGCAGGAAGGTTTAGCTCACACAGGAGTGGGCATGCACTGTTCTACTGCGCAATGTTGCACGCATAAACATGATCTGTACAGCAGTGTCACTAGAAGGAAACATTGCCCCAAACGTCAATGTTTAAAGGATGCAAAACATCTATAGAAGCCAGAAGCACTTTGGAAACAAGTGCTGTGGACTGATGAAGTAATAATGGAACTCTTTGGCCACAATCATCAAAGGTATGTTTAGAAAAATGAAGCAGCATTTGATGTAAAGAACACCGTGCCAACTGTTAAGTATGGGGTGGATCTATTACACTTGGGAGTTTTGTGGCAGCCAGTGGCACAGGAAACATTGCAAGCACAGATGGAAGAATCAATTCCACTAAATATCTGCAAATTCTGGGGGCAAATGAAACAGTCAGTCCAGAAACTAAAGCTGAAAAGAAGCTGGCTTCTACAACAGGACAATGACCCCAATCATACCTCAAAATCCACCATAAACTACTTCAAGACACACAAGCTGAAACTGGAATGGCCCTCACAGTCTCCTAACTTAAAGATCATTGAAAATCTGCGAGTAAATCTTCAACATGCTGTGCATGAAAGAAGACCAAAGAATACTGCAGAACTAGTATTATTATATTATTAAGTCAATCAAATACAAAGTAACTGTGCATTAACATCTGCAGAAAAAAACATATATACATATACACCCAAAACCAGATAAAATACTCTTTTGGTTGAACAGATAAGAAACTTGTTGAGTTTAATTACTTCAGCGAACTTCCTCCTCCATCATCTTCACTACTCACTTTATCTCTAAGCTCTCCTAATCACTCAGCATCTGGCTGAGGTCGTGTTTAATTACATCCAAACTTTCCTGTCTGCTCGTCAAAAAGAGCGGAACCTTCAATCGGCTTCTTTCAGATTCTGATGATACGTAGATGTGAAGAACTGGCCACCTGGCCACCAGGCACTCAAAGACAAGCACGCACGTCTACAATCAAACAAGCACACACTTCTTCAGGGACACTTCTGCTCTTTAAAATCTGAATTTTCTTGTAGATACTTTTCAGTTAAGCATAAAAATTATCTGGAAAGGACTTTGTTAATGTATTTACTAATACTTTTGGGTATATATTGGTTCTACATTCAGCTTTACGTTCATCAAAGTGCCTTGTATGAACAGCAAATTTGTCTCTAAATAATGATTTAACTATTGTAAGAAGCATATATTGAAAGGTGGTTTAAACATCTGGAAGGCCTGAGGGCTGACATCACAATGGGGGGTAAAATGTGTAGGCTTGGACCGTATTCCCAAGATTGGACTTTTATCAGTTTGATCAGTGTTTAATATAGTAAGCTACAAGAAAGAAATGGCATGGCATTATACCAAAAAGAATTGCTGTCAAATTATTTACAAGTGTAATATTGTTTTTCTCAACAACAAAAAAAAACAAAACAATGTTTACTAAACATTTACGGTGGCGCTGCATTTAACATGCACAAAAGCACTCAGAGCTGATTTACCAGATTTACTTTTTTGCAAGGTCATCACTGCAGGCTTGAGCAAGCCTGACTTCAAGAATATGCATTCTAGGGCACAGCTCTGTTGAGGAAAATAGAAGAGGATACTATGCAAATTAACAACCCAGAATGACTTGCTAATGTGAACTGACCGGAAAAACTGCAACACCCAGGAAAAGGTGCAATTACGTTAAACATGGTGGACATGCTGACAGCATGCGACTAAAACAGGGGTAACTCTATCAGAGAAATACTCTTGTTTAGATTTGCTATTACAAGCAGGCACCTTTTCCTTATACTTCATCCCATGTGAAAATATATGAGAATGTGAGAGAATATGTGCAATGTGTGTTATATGTGAAAATATATTCAAAGTTTATGCATCACATACATTTGATTTATACACACATATACCCACATACATAGTTGCTGTTGTAACACAACCTTGACACTTTTAATGGAAAGTTCATGTAACCAGATTTTTGTTCTAAGTCATTTTAGACCATTTCTGTTGATACGTTCATCATAAAATTGATCACAACATTAATGGCAAACACAGAGATACAAGGTTTTGTCACGACAGCAAATACATATTTTTCAAACCAACCCTGCTTCCTTAACGACAGCGTTTTTTAAAGTAAGTGAGTTTTAGATATGGTCCAGGCCTAGCACTAACATACTAAAAGACATCCCATAGGGATGCCAGTAGAAATTAGCATCATTGTAGACGTGGGAAACTGCTGCATTTTAGTTCGCTTACGGTTCATGCCAGCATAACTAACATCGAACCAAACAATGTAAACAAAAGTGATAAGAGTAGAAAGTCACACCTGACTGAACAGATTTTATGACTGAATAACTGGGCCAAATATTCACCAAACCTCCACAGTCATTCTGTACTCCAGCCTGTCTGTCTTGTGATATGCTAAGTCTTGGGTTAGTGGAGTTTTCCTATGATGTGAAGTCCCCAAACTTTTGACTGGCTGACTTTTTTAAGCCTATAGGTAGTTTAAATGATACAGTTTTTAGAAATTACACACAAATGCAATATTTCAAGGTTCTATGCATGATCTTTCAAGAACTTTCAGCTCTTCTAGAGAGAATTTCTCTTTTCTTCGTTTTTTTCTTCTGTCAGCTGGTCCAAACATGCTCTAAGTGGATCTGCGTATCAGCACCTCTGCTATTCAAATTAGCCACTTTGCGTGTAATGTAACTTAAACTAGAACCAGCTGTGCTCGCTACATTTTAGCACGCGCTGCAGGTTTTGTGCCCTCCTTAATAAACCTGACCCTTTGTCTTTAATATGTTAAGAAAATATTTAAAAACATTTTGGAAAGCTGAGTGTCCCCAAACTATTGACTTGCCATTGACACACACCTTGATCTTGAGCATGAGCGCGTCGATGGATGCGTCCAGATCCTGGATCTGTTTGCTCATTTCCTGCTTGCCCTCCTTAAGGCCGGACACCACCTCATTAAACCTTCCCATCCGCTTCTTAAGGTTCCGCACCTTCACCAGGCCGTCAATGCTGAAGGACACACACACACACAAAGGGAAGATTTAATCAAAGCTCTATTTGAGCTTCTATTCAAGCCCAGCCCACCGGTGACCCCTGCTTGATGACTTTAATCCCCAGGAGACTTCAGTAGTTTAATCATTTGCAAAATAGACGTGGAGTTAAATTACTTCTCAAACCACTTCACCAAGCAACGAGGCAGCTTCATCAGAGCGGCTAGGTAAATTCTCCACACATGGCAGTTATAATATTTACATTGTTACTGTAATGTCATTAATATCACTCTTGCGTGTCAGAGAGCGAGCTTCCAATTTACATTTAGGTCACCGCTTCCAGAGCGCCAGCCATTAGATGATGGATCCCACAGCAGTAATGGTAATTGTCATTAACCTTAATGTATGTATCTAATATCTCGCAATTCTCCAAAAGCAATTTCAGTGTAGCTTACAGCTGCGGCAGTGATTCAGCTCTTCATGACTGCTGATTTAAAGCAGTTTTTCATGCAAAATCTTTAGTTCAACTCACCAATGCCTCCATACAATCTCCCTTATCAATCAAGGGTTAAAGAAACTTGCTGAATAATTGCAAATCATGAAGTAACAGCCATTTGGGTACAAAAAAATATCAATTTCATGACCTTTCAAAGTTTAGAGTTATGACTTTTTGCTGTACTACTCAACAGTGCATTTATATCTTTAGCTCAGTTCCCTTTAAAATAGCACTGTAAGCTTAGCAGGCCTCTTTACTGAAAGAGTAACTGTAAAAATGCTACAAAGTAAAATACATGTTAACATCTGTTACAAACTTCAAATAAAACACTGAATGTCTGTTACAAGGTGTAAATGTTTGTGTTTAATCCAGAATCCAGCCATGTAATGTTTGTGTGCACCGGAGTTAACTTAGAACTAACTAGGGATGTTGTTGATGATTGACAAGTGTGTTATGAAGCTGCTTTTTTGTCCTGTCAGCTGTGCACTGTAATGCTAGCTTTACATACCCTATAGCTCTTCACCTTCAATTAGGACATAAGTCACAATGAACCTGCACCAGAAGGAGCTCATGAATGCACGTTTGCAGTTACTACTTAAATGATGTCTACAACTGGGACAAACCAACGTTTTAGAGACATGCTGTACTCCAGCCTGTCTGTCTTGTGATATTCTAAAGCAATAAGTCATATAAGGTTAGTGCAGTTTTCCCATTATGTGAAGCAGGGTAAAATTACTGTAATAAAGGGCTTCAAGTGGCTTACTGCTTTCATAAAACAGCACAGTAATACATAACTGATGTGTGCAATCAATGTGTATGCAATCAATGCGCTTGAGCTTTAGGTCACAAACTGATCGGCAAACATTCTCATTCAGGATTTTCTGATAGAGAGCAAAATTCATGGTTTCATTATGACAAGTCGTCCAGGTCCTGCAGAAGCAAAACAGCCCCAGATCATCACACTACCACCACCATGTTTTACTGTTGGTAAGATGTTCATATAGTGGAATGCGGTGTCGTAATGGGACTCATTACTGTTTGCTCTGTCTCACTGCATTCAAACAAGCTGCACCAGAGTTCGTTTGGCAGTGGATCAAGACCGGCCACCTCAAGGAGTCCTGGTTCAGTTATTTGGTTTGCACCAGTTTGCATGGCAGCATTCTCACTTGTACTAATGAATTGCACGGAGCCATCGCAGCAACGAATCCTGCCAAGTCCTTTACGCTCCCTAAATGTTATTACATAATCACAAATGTACAGTTCCATGCAAAAGTCTGGGCGCCCCTGGTCATGTGACATGTTTTATTGATTTTATTTAAAATAAGTGAAAACTTCCTCTATAGAGAGCACATTTCTACATATTTCAATGCCCAATTACTGTTTATTTGATTAATTTTACATGGGAAAAAATACATAACATGTGTAGCTCGAATGAAAAATACTTAAAATGTAGTTCTCTCTCAAATGAACTATACAGTAATACTATGTAGTAAAGAAGTAACAGACTCACTCTGCTCTTATTGTAACGTCAATCTAGCCAACCTATACCTGCACATGTAGATTGATATCTTGTTGTTAATATATATATATGACATTTGTTTCTTGTCATATATATTTTTTGTTTATCGCTGCTGTCAGAAGAAAACCTCATATCTCCATTTTTTGTCGTTTTTCGTTTTTTTACATTTACATTGTATGTAAATTTCATGAAGAATGGACCAAAAGAAATGACCCAAAATGACTTGTAAAAAAGTCTGGTTCCACTGACTTACATCACAAGTGAAATATGTTTTTTTCCTTCTAGTTACCAAAAAGTTACCATTTTGGAGATACAATGTTTTCTTCCAATAACAGTGATATTTAAGTACTATAAGGGGGCTAAATACCTACGATTTTCACTCACCTTTGCACCTGTGTAAATGTGTTGTAACAATAAACGATCTGATTGGCTGATTCAATTTATTGATTGATTGATAGTAATTAATGAAATGAAAAACTAATAGGATGCAGGTTATATCTATCTACTACTACTACTACTACTACTACTACTAATAATAATAATAATAATGATGAGTCTTAAACCTTGTGTTATTCTTTTTATAACCTCAGAACACTCACCGAGGTTTGTGCTTACGCTTGCACAGCCACATACGTACAGTCTTCTGCATGCTGATGCAGGCGTTGGCCCGATACAGCATCTTATTCTTCACTGGAATAGACAAGGGGAGGTAGAGAGAAGGAAAAACAAAGAGAAAAGGGAGAAGTTAGACAAGTCAATGACATCTACTGGAGCTTCAAGGTCAAAGCGTACAAATGCTGGAGTAGAGTTTCACAGTCAGAGAACATAAGGAAGAACTGCTGACAGTGCCACATATTCTTTATCATTAGGATGTATGTGTGCGGATAATGGCTGTGTAACACTTCTGAACTAGCTTGTGTATTTGTGTGTGTGTGTGCTGGGAATCTGAAGACGGCTGCAGGAAGACAAAGTTCCTGAGTCGCTTTTGTTAAATGGGACAGAAAAAGTATCCTGTGAACGGAGGCTGGAGCAGCTCAAATGGCTGCACCCGAACTTTCAGTAACATCAGAATCGATAGCGGACACGTTTTAAATGCTGACAGAAGAAGATCAGAATGTCCTGCACACACAGCTGAAAATGACTTAGGGGTATAAACTTTAATCAAACTTTTCCAGGTCATTAGGAAATAATTATAACTAATAAGTCCCTATGCATGCTAATGGCCCTTGGCTGCAGGGCCAGACTGCAGCAGTATGGCACTGCTAAAACAAAGCCAGAGACTCTCTTAATGCATCCAATGACTATAAAACTGGTTTCAGACCATCTGTGATCATAAACACGGACACTGAATGTTAAAATGATGTGGAATGGACTATAAACGATACACCAGCATTTGATTCAAACAGGCCTACTCAAAACGGTCTATGCAATCTAACAAGTGGTTGTATGTTTTTGCTGCTATAATCAGCTAATTAACTAATCAGTTGACTAACAAGCCCTTCGTGAGTTGTTGTATGAGCAGCGCAGTGGTCCTCCAGAACCAGTCAGGAGCCTCTGCCCTATAACACACTGAGACAGTGATGAAAAGGTGTGTGAGAAATCAGTGAGTTACACACATTTGATGACTGACAGCGCGCACCACTGGACCTTCTTCCAGCGGCTGTGTATCAGCCACTTATTGACCCGCTTCACCAGCTCGGCCAGGTGATCCGGATCAGACTTCATTATCTGGTCAAACTCGGCAAACTGGCAGAGGAGAGAGAGAGAGAGAAAAAAAAAAACACACGGTGAGAATCAAAAGAAAATGGAAAGAAAGAAAGAAAGAGAGCAAGAAAGAAAGAAAAAACTTTTTATTTGTATAGCGCTTTTTACCACTAGTGTTGTCTCAAAGTAGCTTTACACAAAAGCAGTTTATGGAACGTTATCAAAAGAATAAAATTAAAAAAAAAGAAAAGACAAAGAAAAAGGAGTCCATGTATAGACATAAGGAACTAAATCCCGGTCCAAGCCCCCCATGAGCAAACCAGAAGTGACAGTAGCAAGGAAAAACAAGCAAGAGCAAGAGGAAGAAAACCTAGAGAGGAACCCAGGCTCAATGAATGAATGAATGAATGAATGAATGAATGAATGAATGAATGGAGGAAGGATATAAAGAAGAAAGACAGAGGCTAGTAAGGAAGGGAGCAACAAAGTAGATGGAAGCAAGCAAGAAAGCAAAGAAGAAAGGAAGCAAGGAAGCTAGAAAAAAGAATCAGTGAAAGAAAAAAGCAGGAAGAAAGGAGAGAAGGTAAAGAAGGAAGGTAGGGACAAAGTAAGGGATAAAAGAAAGAAACAAATAAAGAAAAGATGAAAGAAGAAAAAAGGAAGATAGAAAGAAAGAAAGAGAAAGAAAAGAAAAAAAAATAAGATGAACAGAAGAAATTGAGTAAAGAAAAAAAGGAAGACAGAGAAAGGAAAGAGAAGCAGAGGAAAGAATTAATAAAATAAAGAAGGAAAGAGAGAAAGAGGGAATGAATGAAGAAGGTAAAGAAAGAAACAATAAAGATAGAAAACAAGGAAGTAGAGAAGGAAAAAAGAAAAAAATGGATGAACGGAAAGAAAGAAAAAGAAAGAAAGAAAAAAAAGAAGGAAAAAAGTACAGAACGAAGGAAACATGGAAGAAGGAAAGAGAGAATGAAGGAGGTAAAGAAAGAAAAAAAAAGAAAACAAGGAAGTAAAGAAGGAAAAAAGAAAGGAAGAAAGAAAGAGAAAAAGAGAAAGAAAAAGAAAGAAAGAAAGAAGGAAGGAAAAAAATACAGAACGAAGGAAACGGAAGTAAAGAAGGAAGAAAAAAAGAAAAAAAATGGATAAATAACTGAATGAATGGAAGAAAGAAATGAAGACAAAGAAAGAGTAAAGAAAGAAGGAAACAATGAAGTAAAAAAGTAACAAATAAAAAAAATGGATGGATGAACGAACGAATGAACAAAAGAAAGAAAGACAGAAAGACAGAAAAACAGAAAGAAAGAAAAAGAAAGAAGGAAGGAAACAAGGAAGTAAAGAAGGAAGAAAAGGAAAAAATGGATGAATGAATGGAAGAAAAACAAAAGAAAGAAGAGAAGAAAAGAGTAGAAAGAAAGAAAGAAAGAAAGAGAACGTAGAAGAGAAAGACTGAGTTAATGTCTATCTGAAGGTCTGACAGTGTAAATTACTGTTTCTTTACAATAGTAAATCAACATTTCTATCACAGAAATAGACAGAGGTCTGGGTGATAGAGGAGACAGTGGACACAGAGAGTGGACACAGAGAGTGGACACAGAGAGAGTGGACACAGACGGGGTCAGTTTGACGAAGACCGGTCTTTAAGAGTTAAATTTCTAATTTCCACTCTTTCATTAACACTAAGCTGATAGCGTATCTTCTGTATGGCATTTGCAGAAATCCCACATCCTCCTCTCCTCCCGTAAGAACGCCGCCGCAGCCCGTCTGATAGGCGCTCAGCCGCTTCCTCGCCGCAGGTAAATTATTCATTCAGTCAGAAATGAAAACGCCATCTGCTAGTTGTGGTTTACTCTCCACATCTAATTGCTCTCTCATCAGCGCTGAGAGCATCACTAACTCGTGTTCCTCTGAACGACGGCGAGAACTGAAGGCCTTTATCTCTGGGGTACATCTGGATGACAACCATTAGGAGCGTCTCACCTTTCCGGGTCTGAAGAAAACTCGAGTGAGGCCGAACTTGTAGTCGTTCTCATTCAGGCCCAGAGCTTTGAACAGGGCCTGCAGCAGAGGAGGGAACAAAGCATGTTAAAACAATGTCTGTGAACCATTTCAGCCACACAGTAAACCAACATTCAGACCTCAGGGTATTTCGTGAACCTTGTGGAGACATTTTTTATTGTGTGACCGACTCTGGACTACAAAAGATCAATCCTAGTTTCGTCCTCAGCCACTCAAAGCTTTATGACAGGCTGAGAAGAGACTGAGAAGAGCACTTCTACTGTGTTTGACAAAGCACAGCCAATTTTAAAGAGCCCATATAATGGAAAACTGAATTTCCATCACTTTTTGGAGGTGATGCATAAAGATTGTTAAAGATTCACCTTTCCCTCCCCTCAGTCCAAGAACAGCCTGTTATAAAGTCATTGTTTCTGTGATTTCATGAGAACCAAGCAATTTACATATAACTGCCAGCTCAGGTTACAGCAGGTTAGCCCCGCCTATTCACACTGATGTTATAAGGAGTGTTTCAACTCTAACTGGTTTCTGAATGATGCCCAAAAACAGGACAGCCAATCAGAACAGAGCTCATTCAACTTATTTCAGTCTTAAAGGCAAAATAATAAAACTAGCCTGTTTAATTCTGATGGACAAAGACAAGCTGGAAAAAGGTCATGGAAAAATGAAGTTATTTTTTGGGACATAAGACCAAAAAGGGTAAAAAAAATAAAAGAAAAAAAAGTAGAATATGGGCCCTTTAACTGAAACATTATATTCACAGTTTTTTTTTCTTTCACCAAAACGTAGCAGATCAGCCAAGACACGTTTGGTGTCCAAAGTTCACTTTGTTGGTTTTTACTATGTTTGTTAGTCAGTATATAGAAAAGAAAAAAAAGGAAAGAAAAGAAAAAAAAGAAAAGAAAGGATGATAAAGAATGTAAGAAAGACTGAACGAAAGAAAGACTGAATGAAAGAAAGAAAGAAAGAAAGAAAGAAAAAGAAAGAAAAAGTAAAGTAAAAAAAGAAAGCAAAAAAGTAAAGAAGGAAGGAAGCAAGGAAATAAAGGAAGAAAAAAAACATGTATGGAAGAAAGAGGAAAGAAAGAAAGAAAGAAAGAAAGAAGACAAAGAAAAAGTAAAGAAGTAAAGAAGTAAAAAAGAAAGAATGCAAATAAAGTAAAGAAGAAAGGAAGCAAGAAAGAAGAAAGAAAAACAGATGTATGAATAGAAGAAAGAAATAGAAAAAGAAAGGAAGAAAGAAAAAGTAAAGAACTAAATAAGAAAGGAAGCAAGAAAGTAGAGAAGGAAGGAAGCAAGTAAAGAAAAAAAGAAAAACAGATCTATGAATGAAAGAGAAAAGAAAAAGAAAGCAAAATTTAAAAAGATCAGAATAAAAGAAAAACAGAACAGAAACAAAGAAAGAAAGAAAAAGAAAAAAGAAAAAGAAAATGTTTTGTCTATTGGGGCTTTTCAGCCTGTTTAGCATTGATACTGTTTAAAAACACTGTTAGTCACTGGTGCTACGAGGCTAACGTAGCTAACAACTAATGTACGCTTATGTTAGCATTTCACAGCTAGGGTTGCTAAATCAACACATATTTAAACTGCTTTGATTTGAATTGAGTTGTTAAGCGATCTCAAATATACTTACTTAAGTTTATTCTATACTGTTATCTATAAAAACGCACTTATAAAGTCAGCGTTCAGGAACGTTGCTGCTAATGTATTTTGCTATGCATTATAGTTTTGTCATGTCTTGGCTGACCAAACAAGTCTTGGCTGGCCAGCTACATGTCAGCTAAACACAAAACAGTGTAAATTTTCCAAACTACTTCTGTAAAAGCCCAGAGCAGTGGACGCTGACCTTGCAGAAGAGCCGAGGGTCCAGGCGCGTCAGCTTAGGGGGCATGTACTGCTTGTACATGTTGTAGAGCTCGTGGAAAGGTGCTCGGGAAGGGAAACCGCCCTGCATCAAGTCCAGTACAGACACCATCCCTGAGGAACAGCACAGCAAACTCACATTAGACCCAAAGAGCTTAGAACAGCAGGTTCAGTGGTTCAGTGCAGAGCCGGACCCTCACTCACCGTTTCAGTAAATAATTGAAACACCTGGAGCTCGAAAGTAACTAAAGAAGCGTAAAGTGCTTTAAAAAGGGACTTTAATAAGATCAAGTGGGCGGTCGCTGCTCTTTTAGTGCATGAATGGGGGATTCAAACTTTTGCTTACAGCTTTATTCCTATTCAGGGGGACCCGCACTAGGTAAAGGTAGACAGCTGCCTAAGGCCCCCATGAGCCCAGGGTCGGTACGTGTTGATGTTAAATAATCCATTCCGAAATATATACATCTTAAAAACAGTGATTACTTTCAGTCATTTTAATGTAGCCCCACCCCCAGGTCAGGGTCATAACAGACTAATCAATGTTGTTACGTGACGACACAACTGTATAAAGACAGATCCGTATTAACTTCACTCTTAAAACGATGGTTCTTCAAGGGTTCTTTAGTAAGAAAATGGTTCCATATAGAACCATAAACACTCCACCCTTTGAATGATTAAAGGATTCTTTGCATCCTAAAAGGGCTCTTCAAATTGATGGAAAATTTGCTGTATACGGTTCTACATAGAACCTCTTTAAAAAGAGTTCTATATAGCATCAAAAAGGGTTCTTCAGATTGATGTAGAATCTGTTGTACATGGTTCTACATAGAAACTCTTTGAAACGGGTTCTATATAGCATCAAAGAGTGTTCTTCAGAATGATGGAAAATCTGTTGTATATGGTTCTACATAGAACCTCTTTGAAAAGGGATCTATACAGCATCAAAAAAGTGTTCTTCGGATCGATGAAGAATCTGCTGTGTACGGTTCCACATAGAACGTCTTTGAAAAGGGTTCTATATAGCACCAAAAAGGATTCTTTTATTGTTCATGACGATGTCAAGCTTGTAACAATAGAAGAACCAATTTTGGTGCTATATAGAACCATAAACAACAGACTCTTCATTAATCTAAAGAACGCTTTCATGATGCAAAGCACCCTTTAGTCATGCAGAGTTCTTTGAAAGTCATTGGCGATTGTAAAGTGCAGGTAATTACAAAGTCATTTGAAAAGGAGGTCCTTCGATTTTCTGGGTGTCGAGAGTGAAAATCAAATGTTTGTACACAAAAAAAGGAAGGAAAGCAAAAGGTTTGTTGCTACACTGTCAAAGCTAACGTTTTCAGTCAGAACCGAGTGCTCCAGAGGCTCAGCAGACTGTACCCAGCGCTAGTGTTAGTGTTAGTATAGTCAGGTCCAGTGTTGGGGCTATTACTTAAAAACCATTACTCAATCAAGTTACTAATTACATAATGTAACAGGATTATGTTACTTGTTACGTGCTGGAAAAAGTAATCTCATTACTCATTACTTCACTTGTACGACACTCTGTCTCTCACTATATTGGTAGATCTACGGTGGCTGAAAAAAACCAACAAACTGCAAAAAAAAAACAAAAAAACAAAAAACACCTTTATCAGCAAATACAGAAACACATACACCTTCAGAAATGTTGATACGCCAGTCGCAACACAACGGAGATGTTTCTAAAGGACACTCTAAAAGGGCCGAGTCTTTGGAGTCATTCAGACTTAAACTCTATACAGCACATTCACCGGTAAAAGTAAGATAACTTTCATTTGAGCAGGTCACTAATATCACTGTGTGGTAATGGGAATTAGCTGTACAGTGTGACTGTAGGAGTTTAACTAGTAACACCAGAAAACTACCACAGCAGAGCTGTGACGTGTCAGGTAGCGAACTAGCCAGCCAGGTTAACCATGAGGTTAACCCCCAAACTGGGGATGTGACTGTCCGAGTGTCTGTGGTCTTCTCTACTTCTGTCAGTGATTTTCCATTATAGATATTCCATCCCCTTTGAGCCCTTTGAGTCTTCCAGAAACATTTCCGTTGTGTTGTGGCTCATTTCCGTTGTGTTGTGACTGGCTTTGCAGCTTTTCTGAAGCTGCATCTGTTTTCTGTATTTGCAGTGCGTTTGTAAAATGTCGCTCCTGTTGATGAAAGTGCCTGTATTTGCAGCACGTTTCCAAAATGCAGTTCAGGTGTGCCTTTTGACGAAAGTGCTTTGCAGAGTTTGCAGAGTGTCTATGAATTTGCAGTGTGTTTGTAAAATGCAGAGCCCATGTTGTCAGTTTGATGGGTGTTTTCTGGCGTTTTGCAGCTTGATTTTATTTGCAGTTTGTCAAGTCTTCTCAGCCACCGTATAGACCGTTATTTTTTAAAACAAGCAAAATTATCTGCCTATTTAGTGAGATAATTTATACAATCATTTAAGTAAAAAATAAGGTCAGTAATTACATAACATTCATATAATAATCTTAAAATGAGAAACACTAGATATAGCTGAGTGTGGGGAACAACCTAACGTGGGGCACAATTAAACACAGACTTTTTATGTTGTTATATAGGGTCAAGCAGCATAAGCTTCTGGCCACATTACCACATTTCCTAGCCACATTCTCCCACCAAAATTCACAGCGAATCGCCAGCGTTTTAAACCGATCTGTGCCAAAGAGTGTTTTCAGGGCATGTAAGTCATTTTTTTCAACACAAGTTTTTTTCTGGTTACTAAGCTGCTGTTGTAAATCACAAAGTCCAACTTCACAATACTGTAAGCACAATCTTGTTGCTGACAACGTAGCACCATTTTGAAGCAGCTGACAAGCTCACAGCAAGTGCTAGCTGGGTTTAAGTACAGCCTCCGTAATCCAGGTTTAGCTGTTACACAGTGTTACAACTGAGCCACCTTTTGTAAACAAAGACAAATAAAGGAAACTTTTTGTTTTACTTGTTTCACACAGATTTTAAAATGAGAAAGAGAAACATCTGAACACAGGGATTTTCTTCTGCTTTATTAGTGTCTTTCAGATGTCAGTATTTTGGTTTTGAATATGTATATTAACGAAATTGACATTAAATGCTGGTAAAGCTGCAGTTATTCAGAAACAATGTGTCATATTTTACTAATGTATGATATTTTTTATTTGCTGTCCTTCACTGGAGAAAAATAAATGCATCATTGTTTGAACATAGTCTCATGTGAGTATTCATATATAATTTGATGTGTGTATCGATTGAACTGTGTCTTATAGATAGATAATATATAATTCAGTATGGCTGGAAAAAATATTTGTTTCTTCACAACATAGAACTATACTGAACTCACTTTGTTTGCACTAATTCATCCAACTTTTCTAACAAGTGTTACAACAAACCATCTGTCTGTTACAGTGAACCCACCCATATGGTAAACAGTAACACTGCGGTACCTGTTATTTTGGGTGGAATTGGACCTGAACAGTAGGTGCTAGAAACAAAGTTCAAGGGTTCGTTTGTAGCAGAGATGTATATGTTGCTTGTTTAAAAATATGATTGTTACAACTTAAATATTTTTAAAATTATTCAACCAAATTTAACATTTCTAAAGACTTAAGATGAGTTCACCTGCCAAGATAAAAAAGTCTAGACACCCAGGAGGCCAGAGCCTCAACTGATTTGTAGGAATGTTCATCCAGAGGCCCCCATCATCTTTTACCTAAAGCCCCAGAATGACTAAATCCACCCCTGTTTCCTATTGGGCAATCCAAACTTTCAGCTTAAGTTATCCAGCTTACTGAGAAATCCTGTTTTATGGAATCCTCCCAGAACTCTACTGCTCAGAGCTGCAAATAATATCTCACAGGGGTCAGGAGGAACAGGGATGTTAACAGAGCTGAGTTAAATGGAATTTAATAGAGTCAATATCAGCGCACTCTATCTATGCATTTCAATAAAACAGGCCTTGTGTGATTAAACCAGAGATCAAAATCGACTCCTGTGCGAACGTCGCGCCGATGGCAACTCCAATGAAGAAAAATCGATTCTCCAAACTCCCTGAATGAGAGTTTAATTTGCAGATAATGAAGCTATTCTGTTGGCGATGAGGCGCGCCCATTATCCTAAACAAGTGTCATCTAAAGGGCATCGCCTTCAAGAGTCAAAGACTAAGCGGTGTAGGACGATAAAGACGGGAGCTTAATTAATAAATAAAGTCAGCTAACGAGTTTGGCTTGGCTTGCAGGAAACAGCGTTATTGGCGGATCGCTAATAGAGTGAGTGTAAAACAGAGCGCGGCTAATAGAGCGCGTGTAAAGAAGCGCTGACCTGAGCACTGGAGCTGGGAGAGAATCTGAGCGCCTTCAAACTGGTGGCTGACCATCTTCAGATTGGGCTTCACGCAGCGGATGAAACTGGAGCCCTGGAGGCAGACACAAAACAGAGCTGAATTAACGCCAATTCATTACAATTACAGTGATTAGCTCAGTTAGGCTAAGCCTGACAGAGCCATATTAATCAAACCAGAGGACTAACAGATGCTGTACATTAACAACAGATCACCTCAACAGATTTAAAGACAGTCAATCACGCTGATCTCGTTTCCAGCCCTCTAAATTAATGCTTCAAACACAGAGCCTCAATAACAGATCATGCTAATACATTTAGGTCCAATTGTGCAGAAGTCCGGAGAAGCCATGAGGTAGCTATAATCTTCTGGATTGTTATCTTGAGATAATGAGTTAACTATCTTGTGATCTCAAGATAGCAAATTTGTTTTCTTAAGATGACGAGTTAGCTATCTTTAATGTGAAGATAACAAATTTGTTTTCTTGAGATAACGAGTTAACTATCTTGTGATCTCAAGATTACAGAGTTGTTTTCCTGAGACAATGAGTTAAATATCTTGTGATGTCAAGATGAAGTTATTATCGAGATAAGTTAATTATCTTGTGACCTCAAGATCAATAAATGCTTTGAACAAAGAGCCTCAACGACAGACTTTGAGTTAACTATCTGGCGATCTCAAGATAGTTATCTTGTGATCTCACGATAAAGTTGTTTTCTTGAGATAACAAGCTATCTTGTGATCTCAAGACAAAGTTGTTTTCTTGAGATAACAAGTTAATTATCTTGTGATCTCAAGATAAATAAATGCTTCAACCAAAGAGCCTCAACAACAGATCATGCTAATACACTTAGACCCATTTGTATGGAAGTCCGGAGAGGCCATGAGGTAGTTATAATCTTCTGGATTGTTATCTTGAGATAACAAGTTAACTATCTAGGGATCTCACGATAACGAAGCTATCTTGAGATAACGAGTTAACTATCTTGTGATCTCAAGATAAAGTTGTTTTCTTGAGATAACAAGGTTATTATCTTGTGATCTCAAGAAAACAATCCAGAAAATTATAGCAACAAGTCAAGTCAAATTTATTTGTATAGCGCTTTTTACAACTGATGTTGTCACAAAGCAGCTTGACAGAAATCCATTAAGGACACAGTTTCAACATGAAATGTAAAACCTCCAAGTGAGCAAGCCAGGGGCGACAGTGGCAAGGAAAAACTCCCTCAGAGCTGAGGAAGAAACCGTGGGCAGCTAGTCCAAGGCAAGTGGCGGTAGCTGGGCAAGTGGCGGTGACTGGGGCGTGGGCAACTGTCAACAGCTCTTGACCTCTCCGGTCTTCCATATATTTGAGTAATTTGAGACATTTGAGTGATTTTGACATTACCGTGCTGCGCAGCTTCTCCAGAAGAATGTTCAGCTGGGTCTGTCAGGTCAAAAGGTCAAAGACAGAGAGAAAAAGCACTTTTTAGTGACACAACTTGACCAGATTGACATAAACATGAAGACATGCGTGTTACCTTTTCCACTCTCAAAGCCTAAAGCCGCCCACAACACAATCCTCCAGCACAAGGGTGTTAAATCGATTGTGCAGCACAGCTCACGTGTTTCAGTACAAACACAGATAGCCAAACACATCCACACAGTAGGACAGACAGGAAACAGACAGACTGGACAGTGAAAAGAGAAGACAGACAGGCAAACAGAAAGGAAGGCAGAGCAGGAGCTGAGTGTTTCCTCCACACGGCTGCTGAGGAACGCCATGCAGACAGATACACGATGCACAAACGTGCGTGAGCGATGCATTGTGGGATACCTGACGGATAACTGCTTTTAGGCCACCGTCTCCACGGATACCGCATCCAAGGATACTACATTCATATGCATCTCACTGCACATGGAAAGACAGAGGATAGCATCTCTTTCTCTCTCTCTCTCTCTCTCTTCGTCCCCTCTTTCTCCTTCTCTCGTTCCTCTACAGCCTCAGATTATGAGATAGTCTGGGACAGGTCACTGCGGGCAGCAGAAAGCCCAGATCCACGCTGATTTGGGTAATATATGATGTCATTATTAAAGCAGCACTACTTATCAGCCTGCGGAGCACAAATACACTGACCTGTCGTACAGCAGAGGCCTTATTTCTGTTTTTTTTTTCTTATGTTTTTCTTTTTTAATAAAGGCGGCACTACAGAGAGATATTACTGAAACAGAACTGGATGTTTGTTTAGGAAAAAAAATACTTTCAAATAATAAAAAGGAACTTTATTGAAAGGATTATCCCACACCAAACTCAAATTACACTGACTGGCCACTTTATCAGAAACACCTATGTTGATGAGCAATATGTTTGCAATCCTCTAGCCTTCATCAGTGGGAATCATCTGACCACAAGGCCAATTTGGCTCAATATTTAGGAGAGTCATACCACTCTAAAGCAGTGGCACCAACTTGTGCAACTGCAATGGCCCACCTCATAAATTACATGTGGTCAACAAAAGCCATGTGGTCAGAAAATGACCAATGATGAATGAGTCAGAGGGTGGCTGACAAACTGCAAATGACAACAGATGGGCTACAGTCTGTTTCTAATAAATGGCCAGTAAGTGAAAGCACAAGGCCAGTGTTTCTAATAAAGTGGCCAGTGAGGGGAAGTATAAGGCCAGTGTTTTGGGAAAAAAAAAAAAAGTGAGTGGCTAGTGAGTGGACATACAAGGTTGGTGTTTCTAATTAAGTGACCAGTAAGGGAAAAGTACAGGGTCAGCATTTCTAGTGGCCAGTGACTGGAAGTACAAGGTAGGTGTTTCCAATTAAATGGCCGGGGAGTGGAAGTGCAAAGTTGGCGTCTCTAATAAATTGGCCAGTGACAGGAAGGACAAGTGTTCCTAATAAAGTGGCCAGTGAGTGCAAAGTACAGGGTCACTGTTTCTAATAAAGTGGCCAGTGAGGGGAAGTATAAGGTTAATGTTTCTAATAAAGTGGCCAGTGAGGGAAAGTACAGGATCAGTGTTTCTAATATAGTGGCCAGTGAGTGGACATACAAGGTTAGTGTTTCTAATAAATTGGCCAGTGAGTGGACGTACAAGGTTGGTGTTTCTAATAAAATGGCCAGCGAGCAAAAGCACCGGGTCAGTGTTTCTAATAAAGTGGCCAGTGAGTGGAATGTACAGGGTCAGTGTTTTTAATATAGTGGCCAGGGAGTGGACATACAAGGTTGGTGTTTCTAATAAAGTGGCCAGGGAGTGGACACACAAGGTTGATGTTTCTAATTAAGTGGCCAGTGAGGGAAAGCACAGGGTCAGTGTTTCTAATAAATTGGCCAGTGAGTGGACGTACAAGGTTGGTGTTTCTACTAAAATGGCCAGTGAGGGAAAGTACAGGGTCAGTGTTTTTAATAAAATGGCCAGTGAGTGCAGGTATAAAGTCTGTGTTTCTAAGTGTCCAGTAAGTATAATGTGAATGTGCAGCACGAAGACACTCCAGGTCAGATGGCTCAGCCTTACTAAAACAGTAAAAAGGGAAAGAAAAAAAACACTAAAGGTTCCCTCACCCTTTAGTTCATCTCTCTATCCTCCCTTTTCATCCAGCACAAATCACAAGGGAGGGATGGAGAGACAGAGTGAGTGAGAGAAAGGGAACAGGAGAAAAGATAAAGGAAAAGAGCAGGAAGGAGACACATACATACACATACAGTCCTCCTCAGAACCACAGGACAGAGAGAGACACAGAAAACGCATCTGCTGTGAAGGAACATTCAGTACAGACCGGCCCAATCCAGCGTACATCCACTCTACGCTCTACATTTACTCCCACTTGAGTTTTATATCTCATCCATAGTCGTGTGTGCTTAAGTAGACTGGGTACTAGCTGTGCATTAGCGCACTACATATCCACTTAACCGACACTGCCATTGACCGAGAACATGAATCTAACTGTATTATATGGACCATTCCACTGAATTAGCTCAACCTGCGGTCCCACATTAAAAAAAAATAAAAATAATAATAAAAAATTACGTATTCAAATATTATCTATTTACAAGGACTATATTTTGATCTATTTAAACCCAGTTCTGCTCAAAATTAGCTAAAACTGTCACAACCAAGTGACAGTTGTAGTGTTATGATTGTTTTGGTAGTGACAAAATGGAATGTTTAATCATTTGTTTTAGTAAAATAAACATAATTAAGGCACAGGGTCACTCAAAACAAAAGGATTTTAGTCTAAAGTCCCAAATGTGTTTTGAATTCTGACTTTGTACCAATTTGGTAGAATGGTCCACATACGGCACATTATATACAGTCCAAAGTCTGGACACACTTACTTACTCATAGAAGAGCTTCCTGTATTATTTTACTATTTTACACATTTGAAAATAATATTAAGATCACAGCTATGAAATAACACAAATAGAGTTTTTGTTGTTTACCAAAAACAGGCTGTCTGAACACATTAACTACAAGTTAAATGTAATATTTTAGGTGTACACTAGTGCTCAAAAGTCTGAAATCACTTACCATATTAACAATTTCTCTTATTCTATATACAAAGCTTAGGTTTAATTTAAATATGACAAACTGCTCACTGAAAGGTGTTTTTGGATAACTTATGAATAACTCTGTGAGCACAATATGAATAAAAAGAGAAATAATATACGCAATTGTTATTCTTTGCATTCATTATTTTGTCAAGGTATCTGCCTTGAGATTTTGAAATATGATCAACTCTGGAGATTAATAAAACACATTCAAAACATAATTATAGAAGGTTTGTATAATTTTTTATTATAACTTTATCCTTCATGCTACACTGCTTTCTCAGTCATTTTAGCATCTTCTTCATTCTGGCCTCATCTAAATTTTCTTACAGCTAATTTAAAACTAATTATTTGAAACATGAATTTGTTTATAAACTTAAACTGTACTAATATTATTAAAAACAGTGATTCCAAACTGTCAAACAGTAGTGTAGGTAAATATATTACCTGCTGCTATTAAGAAACTACAGTGCCTTAATGTGGGCGTGTTGTCAAGGACGTTGTTAAGGACATGACTGAGAAAGAAGAGAATTATTATCTGTTCTCTAGTTTTTGACAAACTAACTTTAGCTCATCATCCACTGAGAAGAAAAGATGCTGTGTAGAAGTCATCACTACATCACTAAGTCATCTACAGCTGCACTGGTTAGCTCTAGTGTTAGTGCTGACTCATCTGAAGGGGCAGCCTCTGTTACTCAAGACTCCTCAGACACAAAAAACTACCAGTTTAACCTGCAGCGGAGGACACCCTGAAAGATTCTGCACATTTTAAGCATTTAAGTGTCTTTAGATCAAACTGTCTTATGAGATGAGACGATTATGAGATAAACAATGAGTGTAAACATACACTCGTTTAGATGTACAAGTGTTTGGCCCTGCACATCTACTGAATCAGTAAAGTTGTTCATTCTGCTGTTTTCACAGGCAGCCTGAATTAAAAATGAAAATGACTTGGCTTTCTTCCAGCGCATTTCAAATCTGGAACATGTCGTGTTTTGGAACAAAAGCAGTTTTTGTGTTTGATATTTCCATTTTAAATAAGCACTGAGATGAAAGAACAGTTCTCACCTGGTTGTGGGTTCTAAAGTTTAAACAGACTATTCAGATGTGCAGATGCGAACTTTTTTTTGGCTCACCTTGAACTTGTTGCCCACACTGATGAAGCCGAGTTTACCAGCTTTCTGCTTGACATCTTTGGAGTTGATGGAGTTCTCGAAGAGTTCTCGAATGAACTGATCTTTAGACTCGCTCACGAGACTCTCCAGAGACATGTGCAGAGCGTCATTATTCTTCTCCACAAAGTCAATCTGAGAGAGAGAGAGAGAGAGAGAGAGAGAGAGAGAGAGAGAGAGAGAAAAGGAAAGAAAGAATGAAAAAGAAACAAGAAGAAGAAAGAGAGAGAAAAAGAAAAAAGAGGAAAGAAAGAAAGAATGACAAAGCAAGAAAGAAAGAAAAAGAAAGAAAAAAGAGAAAAAGAAAGAATAAAAAAAAGAATCAGAAAAAGAGAAAAAGAAAAGGAAAAACAAGACAGAGAAAAGAGAAAGACAAATAGTAAGAGAGACAGAAGAAAACAGAAAAAGAAAAAGAAAGAAGAAAAAGAAAAGGAAAAAGTGGAGACAAGAGAGAAGAGAGAAGGATAAATAGTGAGAGAAATAAGAGAAAACAAAGAGAAGGAGAAAAAGAGGAAAGAAAGAAAAGTAAAAAAAAGAAAAGAAAGAAGAAAGACAGAAAAAAAGAATTAATGAGAAAGAACACAAAAAAGGAAGAAAGAAAGAAAGAAAGAAAGAAAGAAAGAAAGAAAGAAAGAAAGGAAGAAAGAAAACAGAGAAAGACAGAACAAACAAAAGAATGAATGAGAAAAAAGGAACACAAAGAAGAAAAAAAAAAGAAAGACAATGAAAAGGAAGAGAGAAAGCAAGAAAGAAAGGACGAAAGAAGGAAAGAAACAAAACAGAGGAAGACAAAACAAACAAAAGAATGAATAAGAAAACAGGAACACAAACAAGAAAAAACAAAGAAAGAAAAATCAAAAGAGAGACAAGGAAAGAAATAAAGAAACACTTTTTAGTGGATTTTAACTAAACAATCGTATTGATTCATCTTTTTCAAGACACTTGAACCACCATCCACTACAGTAGCATTGATCTCAATCTACTCTATAACTGCACAGACATTCATTCATTCTCACATTCATTTATTTATTCATTCTCTGTCACTCATCCTCTGAGCGAAGGCTCAGGCTGAGCGGAAGCTCAGAGGAGCAACAACACATTTATTCTCAGAGCAGAAGAGCGAAAGACAGGTTACTAAACGGCTGGATGAAGGTGAAAACAGCAGCGCTGACATTCAGCACCTTTCAGGACACACAGGCGTGTGTGTGTGTGTGTGTGTGTGTGTGTGTGTGTGTGTGTGTGTGTGTGTGTACTTACAGTCTCATAACAAACTGCTCCTGCAAAATGTCTGATGATAAATCCTTCATCATCCCTCACATTCCTGTGTACCGTCAGCTTTGACTTCCTGGGGACCTGAAAGGGCAGACAGGGGAGTTTTGTAAACACACACACCGGCCGCGTCGTACAACACTGCGTTAAATACCACAGAGAACGTGTCACAGAACAGTCGCAATAAACGTTAAGCTCAAATTCATTTTACATTCTACTCATAGAGATTAAACGGAACGCAACTTCACTCAGTGAAGCCGCTTAAGGGAGTTTAAACAGACGTCTTCCGAATGTCCGCTGAGGCATTACATAATGCCAACTGCTGCAATATGATCTTCCATCACTTGTTAAGGGGCAATAAGCAATGTTCACAAAAAAATTATTGCTTATATTCAAAGATTTTTGCCAATCTGACTGAATACGTTCCGATTCTAGATTAAGACTGAGGTGTTTATATGCACTCTACTCAACATTGTGATGGAAAATCTCTGTTTACGTGCTCACTACAAATAATCAGATCCAAAATTACGCACATACATACAGGACCATTCCACAGTCACGTTTACATGCAGCCTGATAATCCGTTAATAATCTGACTAATAGCTTAATCGGAACAGACTATGTATACACCTTAATCAGAATAGACTAGTCCAATTGAGGCCATTCGGAATACAATTTGTATCTGATTGAACGAGGTGGGTAATCCTGTAAATAATCCGTTAAATAGAAGAATAACATCCGTGTAAATGCCTGTATCTGATTACATTCCCAATCGGAATTTTAAGCACGTTCTGATCATGTGCGTCGTGTCATAGCGAAAGTTTATAACGTCCAACATGGCGGGAGAAGAAACTGGTCTGCAGGGCAGACAAAGTTTATGCTCTGATCTTTAAAAGAAGGCGGTGGGACGAGCGTCCAGCTTATGTGTCTCAGAACACGACGTCTTCCTCTCGGCCTTCTTTAATACGTACATGTGAAGGACGTTTTCCTGAGTCTGAGATAAATTTAAAGTAATTAAAAACACAAGCACTGCTCACTGCTGCTCATCTCACTCTGACTGGACTCATGTGATGTTCGTTGTCATGGTAACGTCTACACTAAGTGGTGCTCTACGTATGCACGTAATTTTGCAGTTACTTGCATTGCTTGTGGTGAGCATGCAAACTGAGATTTCCATCAGATTGTGGAGTACAGTGAGCAGATAAACACCTCAGTCTTAATCTAGAATCGGAATGTATTCAATCAGATTGGCAAAAATCTTAGCATGTAAATCACAGCCATGGACTACATTTAGGATCTGAATTTTCACCAGAATATTCCAATGAACAGAATCAGGACAAAATGACTGCTTCAGCTCTGGGTTATTGGCTATGACAGCTCCACAGGCACTCACAGTCAAGCGGAAGTGGTTTTTGTGCTTGTTGTGGACTGTCTCGGTAAAGTGCTGGTCGCTCGGTTGAGGTAGACGGTTCTCTTCATCCAGAATGTCCAAGATGCCCACTAGCTTTGCCTCCACCAGGTCTGAAACACACACACACACACAACATTCCACGTAAGTCTACTGTGTAGTAATGTAGACCTTTTGTTCTTACAGTTGTCTAAACAACTCTAAACAGTATTCACTGGCCTATCTCAGAGATCTTTCTTCTGCTTGATCCAAGGGTCTTTTACGCTCCCCTTAAACTCTAAGGACTTGTCGACAGGTTCAACTCTTCACTCTCACAACTACACACCTTACATCAGTGGTCACCAAGCCTGGTCCTGGAGATCTACCTTCCTGCGGTGTCTAGCTCCAACCATATGCCTCATCTGCTCCAGCTAACAAACTTCTTCAGAAGTTCTTGAATGGCTCAACTAGATGCGTTAGTGTTAAGTAAGAGGGGTTAATGCAGGTTGGAACTGAACTCTACAGGAAAGCAGATCTCCAGGAGGAGGGCTGGTGACCACTGCCTTACATACTACTTTTATAGTATTCATAAAGTAATTTATTGTAGCTACTACTTATCAATAAGATCAGTAAGGATCTACAGTACTGTGCATGAGTTCAACACCATCATCTATTTATTTTATTTCCAGTCAAAATGGCCATTAAATATGAGTTTTCTTCACCAATAGGACAAAAAAAAAAAACACATTCAGTGATGTGGTCTGAACTCTGGGGTGGTCAGTCCATTTTTCTGAAAACACTACCACCTTCTTTGCTTGGTTTGCAAGGTTTTTTCCCTTCAGCAATGTCTTCTTGACAACTACACATCCTTTCAGACTCATAGTGTTGAGTTTTCTTCTCAGAGTGGAAGGATGGACAGAACCACCCCCAGGCCCCAATGATGGCTGCAAGAGCCGTCAGGAAGGTGGGACTCGAACACTGAGCACAGAGGAAACCTTGCGATGACAGCGGTTAGAGATCGGTGAGGGGTGGTGGTGGACGATGCATGAATCCCGAGCTCCTGCCTCCTGGTCACCGCCTCCAGTCCTGCCCTCTCTTACAGCTGTCTTACCAAACTTATCAGAATTGTTTACAGTGGTGGTCATAGGAACCAGACGTCTGAAGAGTTTAATGCCTCTAAAAGCTCCCTCACAGAAAGTTATTACATGAAATGATAATGAATATACTGACTAATGCCTGAGACACTGTTTTACAAAAGTTTTAAGATAATTTTGGTCTAAAATGTAGATTTTTTTTAATCCATTCAGGGAAACATACATGCAGGGTGCTATAAGGTAATACAGTACCCAAAAAACATATTTCATCATTATTTACCATTTTTTACACAACATATTAAAACTCAGAAGTGTGCAGCTTCACTGGTCTATATAAAAATATATACTGAAATATAAACAAAATGGCTTTATTTGTGCTGTAAACACTGAGGTTTCTATCACCACCACTGCAAAGAAATTTGAGTCTGTGAAGTTTCTCCACATTGAACCACTTTAACCAAATCACTCTGCAAAAAAATATTTTATTTACATCTTAATCACTGAATTATGCAGAAATTTTGAAATAAATCAGAGGAATTCACCCACACCCAGGTCTTAGGCCCAAACACTGCTGGCTGGCATTTTCTACGCGAGCTGGGTTTGAATCAAGCTGTGCTCTATGTATAGCCGAGGGCAGTGGAGTATGAAACATCTAATTATGAACGTGAAAGTTAGCTCTACGCACAGTAGCGGTCCAGCTGTCAGTACAAATTAGAATGCTACGATAACAGAGCTCACGGTGAGGACGCTCACTCACTGCACCCCAAAAAAAAGCAGCCATGTCTCATAATTGAGAATATAGGACAGACAGCAAAACAAAGCATTCCAAATGTAACAACATGAACAGACAAGAAAATAGGCGACATGAATATAGTAGTAATGCTGATTTCCTTGTAAAGCTGCTTTGTGACAACACCTGTTGTAAAAAGCGGTATATAAATAAACTTTGCTTGCTTGCTTACTAGTAACTAAGCTGCTTACTTTGTTGCATGTACACTCTTATTTTAATACAAAGCAAAAAAAAAAAGCAGTGTTATTTGAGCAATGCCATAGGACAGTGGTCACCACCCCCACTCCTGGAGATCTACCTTTCAGCAGACTTCAGCACCAACCCTAGCTGATCTACCTTATTATGGCCTTCAGATTCTCTGCCCATCATTTGCCCATCATTTGTGTTCTACTGGCTCCTGTGCTTGGACCCCAGTGATTGCTACTAGCAATGTAATTTGAAGATAACTGTTAAGCTCTCATAGCGGTTATGACAGTCCACAGAAATCAATGTGTGATTCGTCAGTTTTAGACGGAAATGGAATTGTTTTGGTTGCTAACAATAATAATTCATATTTGTACATATGAATAGAGAAATTGACAAACAAATTACAGGTTTGACAACTTTATTTAATTGAAGTAATGTGTTTTACTTCAGGCTGGTTTTCTGCTAATCTGTTGGTGAGAAACTGAAATATAAGTACAAGCCTCTTCTTAACTGACAAAAGAGCAAACATCTCATGTTCCAGGAGACACTCTGCTTTTTATTTTTATATCACCTACCCATTAAATTGCCCACTCAGTCTGCGGTCAAGAACACGGCAATTATTCAAAAACAGACAAGCCATAAACCTCTTGAAGGATAATAACACGTTACGATACTCGAGTCTGGAGCGTTCTGCTAAGCTTCTCCTGAACTGATGAAATACAACTTGTCTGAAAAGTGGCCAAACTATCTTGGCAGTGTTTTGGCTTTTCCAAAGACACAAACAATGGAAGAAGTTTGAATGAAAATGCTGTCGTCCCCCTCGGGGAGTGATTTATTTGGAGTGCAGCTCAGACTGGAAATCACAGAATGGTCTTGGGAGGTGGACAGGTGCTGAAGGGCGAGAGGCACTGTGCGTGTGTGGACTGTGTGCATGTATGACAGAATGTCTGCCTGCAGGAGCTGGAGCTCCTTTACTGGAAAAGGGCTGACGAGTTGCTCACTGTCTTCTCATTGCGAGAGAACAGAAGGCACGAGTCACACACACATACTCACACAAACACACACTCACTACAGGCCGGACAGCAGAAGAGGAGGTGAGAGACAGAATGACATGATAGTGTAGACAGACAGACAGACAGTGTAGATAGATAATGTAGTTACTGCAAACAGACAGTGCAGACAGTTTACACATACAGACTATGCAGATATACAATGCAGACAGTGTAGACAGGTAAACACTGCAGACAGACGGTGTAGACAGTGCAGAGACGGTCTAGAGAGTCAGCGTAGATGGTCAGTGGAGACACTGTGGGCAGACACTGGAGATGGTGTACACAGACAGTGTAGACACTGAAGACAGACAGACAGGGTACTCAGTGCAGAGAGACACTGAAGACACTAAAGACAGACAGACAGTGTAGACAGTGTGGAGAGAGAGATAGTGGAGACACTGAAGACAGACAAGGTAGACCGTGAGGACAGACAGACAGACAGACAGTGTAGACAGTGAAGACAGCGTAGAGACAGACAGCGTAGACACTGAAGACAGACAGACAGTGTAGACAATGAAGACAGACAGGGTAGACAGTATAGAGAGATAGACAGTGTAGAGAGACAGACAGTAAAGACACTGAAGACAGACAGACAGTGCAGACAGTGTAGAGACATACAGTGTAGACACTGAAGACAGACATTGTGGACAGTGCAGACAGTGTAGAGAGACGGACAGCGTAGACAATGAAGACAGACAGGCAGGGTAGGCAGTGCAGACAGTGTAGAGAGACACAGCTTAGAGAGTGTAGAGAGACAGACAGTGTAGACATTGAAGAGAGACAGACAGTCTAGACAGTGCAGACAGTGTAGAGAGACAGACAGTAAAGACACTGAAGACAGACAACAGTGTAGACACATACGGTGTAGGCACTGAAGACAGACAGTGCAGACAATGCAGAGAGACAGTGTAGACAGTGCAGTGAGACAGACAGTGTAGACACTGAAGATAGACAGACAGACAGTGTAGACAGTGAAGACAGACAGACAGCATAGACAGTGCAGACAGTGCAGAGAGACAGACAGTGTAGACACTGAAGACAGACTGTGTAGACAGTGCAGACAGATGGTGTAGACAGTGCAGATAGACAGTATAGACAGGAAGTCAATGTAGACAGACAGTGTAGACAGACAGTGAAGATACTGTAGACAGACAGCGCAGACAGACAGATTTTACATAAGGTGATATATTAAAATGCACTGGAGAAACAATGTGACACAGTTAAACACTGGTTTGTATTATATTGTTCAAAATAACTCACTTTTAACACTGTAAATCGGTCAGAATACTCACTGCACACAGTGAAAAACACTACGACTGGTCACAGGGGTCACTTGATATTGCAAAGGCCAATACTGCAATAACGCTTACCAAACGATTTATTGTGCAGCCCCACAGTGTAGACAGACAGACAGAGAGTCAGCCCAGACAGACAGTATAGACAGGAAGCACAGACAGACTCACAGGTTAGACACACAGACAATTTCAGCAGAAGCTTCTGCATCTGCATCATATCCTCCTCTCTCCACTCTCCTCTCTCCCACTCTTCTCCTCACCCTTCTCCACCCTTTTCCTTCACTTTATTTATGGAACAGCCACAGTAATAACTTATTTCTCCATCCCCCAGGGCCATGTGTGTGTGTGTGTGTGTGTGTGTGTGTGTGTGTGTTTATGTGTTTATGTGCTTATATTTGTTTGGTCTCCGCTGCACAGCCAGTCTGTCTTCATGCCTCCAGCCATAATGGCGTTAATGCTGCAGTTTGGGGTCAAGAGTCAGACCACCTTCAGCCAGCATGATGTTTACCATCCCATGCAAAAGCAGCCTCATAACACACACATAAAAACAACCAGGCATCTGTTTCAAGTGAGAAATTCTTGTATCCATATGTCCATATTCCATAATACGGTATAGCACAACATTCAAGGCCAGCTGAACAAAGTAATGCATAATCACATTACAGGTACTGTGTTGTGCTGCGTCTCCAGGAGAGCAACATTCATTTCATACAATGTATTAAAAACAGTGACGGGGGTTAATAACACATTAACGTGGGTAATTAACGCCATTTTTTATAGACTGACCATTTGAGCCATCCGGGCTGTTGCTATGACTCCGCCACTATGTAGCCCTCTCATTCAAACACAGCTTTAAATGGCAGCTTTCAATAATGGTTCTCTTGATAAGTTATTTCCATCTACTGCCATGCTGTGAATTTGTTTATCACCTGTTTGTAGCATCACTTATACAAGCCAGGCACACCGAAGTCACCAGTAACAGCTTAGTGGACGCCAGCAGACTACGCTGCTTGCTGGAGAACAATGGATAAATCAACAACTGAGCAACTAACAAAAGAAGAAGCAAAGCAGAAAACTCCAATTCTCCTCAACACAAGACGCAAGGTTGCGGCGTGAAAGGACCACAACTCAAATAAATCTCAAATTAATAGAAACTGTGCACTAAAATTGGGGCTGAACGATTTGGGGAAAATATCTAATTGCGACTGTTCAGACTAATATGGTGCCTGCGATTTAAATTGCCTTTTGTCTTGAGGCTTGACTCCTGAGTGTAGTGTGCCAAACTGCCAGTAAGTTGTGGTGGTGATGTCACAACATATGGAGGTTTGTTTGTCTCTGATTGGTCTAACTCTTCTACAGGCATTTCAATTTCCTCTCTTAAAACAACGCTTTTGCTAACGTACACACTTAAAAAATGTTGTTCAAGGGTTCTCTAGTAAAGAAAATGGTTCTATATAGAGCCATAAACAGTCAACAACCCATTTGCATGCTTAAAAAGTTCTTTGTATGGTGAAATGGTTCTTTAGATTTACAGAGAGTGTGTTGTATATGATTGTATATGGTTTACCATGCAAAGAACCATTTAAGCCTGCAAATGGGTTGTTGATTTTTCATGGTTCTATATAGAACAACTGTCTTTACTAAAGAACCATCTTTTTTAAGAACCTTGAAGAACTGTCTTTTTTAACCATGTAGGCTACATAAAAAAAAAATTACGATTTCATAATTTCGTAATTTCTTAAATTGTGATTTCGATATAAAAATGAATAATCTTTCAGCCCTAACTCAAACTTGCCATATTTCAGTTCTCTGTAGAGGGTGTGTTAACTTAGAAAATGAATAAAAAATTAGCTATTAGTTAAAGTATTCAAACTTTTGCATATGACTGTATGTATTTTTGTCTTAACACATCATGATATCAAAACTGTCAAAGGTAATTATCATGGCATTAAGTTTTACATTGGCAAATGCAAATCCTTGTCAATCACATCAACCTTTTTAACATACGCGGATTATTCAAGTTAACATCCAATGGAGATTTAAATTAGGATTATCTGCAAAATGGAATTTGCAGGCTCTTACTCCTCCATAGCAACCACAAAATAAGCTTTAAAGCATGCGCTAACGTCAAAAACGTCCATACCTGATTTAGCATTCCTATTTATACATCAGAACTAACTTTATTAGCTGTACAGTGTGCGTGGAAGAGGAATACAGACCTATGCAGTCCTGATTGTCGACGTATTTCACTTCGTTCACTCCCAGCCCCTCTCTCTGGTACAGTTCCTGCTCCTGGAAGCCGAACAGAATTCACAAACATTAGAAACACGGTTCAGCATCACCAGGCAACAGCAGACAGTTTCTGATCTATGATATTTCTCCACAATTTGAAAGCTGATGCTCCCCTTCATACCATGGGACCATCCTGAAGCTCTAAGAAAAAAAAAACCCATATGAACACCATGATAGGGCTGGGCAATTAATTGAATTATTAATTATTAATTACGAGTTTGGCTTCCAACCATTATGAAAACAAGATAACTGAGATAAAACGATTATTGAGCTGCATTGAGTTTTGCAGTGATGCTCCCGTTTCGTCTTGTGTTAGAAATCCAGTGCACCTATTTCTTTTACAGGGGGGCACTTTCACCCCTCCCTAAAGGCATAAACTCATTTATTTTGGTCTAATTTATTTTTATTTATTACTTATACCCTTCCTGGATCGGGGCCTTGTCGTGGCGGAAGGGCTTGTGTGGTCTAAGGATCTTCAGAGCTAAGTCGTCGGGAGCAACATGCTCCTGGTAGGGTCTCCCAGGGCGAAGAGGTCTGGAGTGAAGACCCAGACTAACTCGATCCAAAAACCTCCATGAAAAACGGACGCAAAACATCGTGTACCCTGCCCGGGAGAGGGTCACCGGGACCTACCCCTGGAGCCAGGCCTGGGGGTAGCGTCCCTCGGCGAGCGCCTGGTGGCCGGGCAGCCCACGTAACCCGGCTGGCGGCAGTACAGTTGGAGTTTGTCCCGGTGGATGAGAGGGTCGCCTCAATGCGTATTAAAATCGCAGAGAGGAAAACTCTGACTGTTGTGTGTGCTTATGCACCAAACAACAGGTCGGAGTATTCGGCCTTCTTGGAGCAAGTGGGCGGGGTTCTGGAAAGGGTCCCAACTACAGACTCCATAGTCTTACTGGGAGACTTCAATGCTCATGTTGGCAATGACTGGGAGACCTGGAGAGGCGTGATTGGGAAGAACGGCCTGCCCGATCTAAACCCGAATGGTGAATTGTTATTGGACTTCTGTGCCAGGCATGGATTGTCCATAACGAACACCAAGTTCGAACACAAGGATGTTCATAAGTGTACATGGTACCAGAGCTCCTTGGGTCAAAGGTCAATGATCGACTTTGTTGTCGTTTCATCTGACTTGGGACCATATGTTCTGGACACTCGGGTGAAGAGAGGTGCTGAGCTGTCAACTGATCACCATCTGGTGGTGAGTTGGATCAGATGGCAGGGAAGACTGAGGGTTAGACCTGGTAGGCCCAAGCGAATAGTGAGGGTGTGCTGGGAACGACTGTCGGAGGCCCCTGTTCGGAATGATTTTAACTCCCACCTCCGGGAGAGCTTTTCTCATGTCCCGGAGGAGGTAGGGGACATAGAGTCTGAATGGACCCTGTTCAAAACCTCCATTGTGGAAGCTGCCAGGCGCAGCTGTGGCCAAAAGCTTGTCGGTGCCTGTCATGGCGGTAACCCAAGAACCCCCTGGTGGACACCGGTGGTGAGGGAGGCCGTCAAGCTGAAGAAAGAGGCCTTTAGGGACTGGATGGCCCGAAGGACTCCCGATTCAGCAGATAGGTACCGACATGCAAAAAAGGTGGCAGCTGCAACGGTGGCAGAAGCAAAATCCAGGGCGTGGGAGGAGTTTGGTGAGGCCATGGAAAAAGACTTTCGGTCGGCCTCGAGGAGGTTCTGGACAACTGTCCGGCGACTCAGGAGTGGTCGGGGTGACTGCGCCCAGGCTGTATTCAGCAGGGGTGGAGAAACTCTGACTTCAAATGAGGATATTGTCGGTCGGTGGAAAGAGCACTTTGAGGAACTCCTTAATCCGGGTGACATGCCTCCCTCACGGGAGTCAGGGCCAGAGGCCTCTGGCGTGTCAAGCTCCATTTCCCTGGTGGAGGTCACTGAGGTAGTTGGCAAGCTCTTCAGTGGCAAGGCACCGGGGGTGGATGAGATTCGTCCGGAGATGCTTAAGGCTCTGGATATTGTGGGGCTGTCGTGGCTGACACGCCTCTGCAATAGTGCATGGACCTCGGGAACAGTACCCTTGGACTGGCAGACCGGGGTGGTGGTCCCTATTTTCAAGAAAGGGGACCAGAGGGTGTGTGCCAACTATCGGGGTATCACACTGCTCAGCCTCCCTGGGAAAGTCTATGCCAAGGTGCTGGAAAGGAGACTTCGGCCGATAGTTGAACCTCAGATTGAGGAGGAACAATGCGGATTCCGTCCTGGCCGTGGAACAATGGACCAGCTTTTCACCCTCTCATGGATTGTTGAGGTGGCATGGGAGTTTGCCAACCCAGTCTACATGTGTTTTGTGGATTTAGAGAAGGCTTACGACCGTGTTCCCCGCGATATCTTGTGGGAGGTCCTCCGGGAGTATGGGGTGCCGGGGTTACTACTCCGGGCCATTCAATCTCTGTACGCCCGGAGTGAGAGCGGTGTTCGTATACTCGGCATTAAGTCGGACTCTTTCAGTGTTAGCGTTGGACTCCGCCAGGGTTGTGCCCTGTCTCCACTCCTGTTTGGGATATTCATGGACAGGGTGTCAAGGCGTAGCCGGGGTCAGGAGGGCATTATGTGTGGAGGCCGGAGGGTGGCGTCTCTGCTATTTGCAGATGATGTTGTTCTTTTGGCTGGATCACATGGATGCCTCCAGCGCACACTGGAGCGGTTTGCAGCCGAGTGTGAAGCGGTTGGTATGCGGATCAGCACCTCCAAGTCTGAGTCCATGGTCTTAGCCCGGAAAAGGATGGTATGCCCACTCCAGGTAGGGGGAAAGGACTTGCCCCAGGTGGAGGAGTTTAAGTATCTCGGGGTCTTGTTCACGAGTGATGGGAAGAAGGATCGTGAGATCGACCGCAGGCTGGGACAAGCGGCAGCAGTAATGCGGTCGCTGTACCGGACTGTTCAGCTCTCTGTTTACCGATCGGTCTACATCCCGACCCTCACCTATGGTCATGAGCTGTGGGTAATGACCGAAAGAATGAGATCGCGAATACAAGCGGCAGAAATGAGCTTTCTTCGCAGGGTGGCGGGCTACACTCTATTTGATAGGGTAAGGAGCTCGGCCATCCGGGAGGAGCTCGGAGTAGAGCTGCTACTCCTCCGCATTGAGAGGAGCCAGCTGAGGTGGTTCGGGCATCTGATCCGGATGCCCCCGGGACGCCTCCCGGTGGGGGTGTACCAGGCACGGCCTACCGGAATAAGACCCCGGGGTCGTCCTAGGACCCGCTGGAGGGATTATATCTCCAAGTTGGCCTGGGAGCGGCTTGGGGTCCCCGGGAATGAGCTGGAGGAAGTTGCGGGGGACAGGGTCACCTGGGATTCTCTGCTCTCCCAACTGCTACCGCGACCCTATCTGAACTAAGCGGTTAACGATATTGATGATGATAATGACTTTTTATATATGCTTAGTAGTTTTCAGCAGGTTGTGGAAGTGCACTACAACATCTCATTTATTTTGATCTTATTTATATATATATAGATATATTGAATTGGTTCTTTATTTAAATGTACATTTATGTACATATTAAGTATAATTTATTTAATTTATTTCTTTTCTTTACCTTTTTTTAGTTTTCAGTTATTCACACTGATAAAAGGACAAGTTTTTTTTAAAAAAAGTTTAATAAATGCATGATGTTTCCAAAGTGATCTCAATATTGAACAAAATAATCCTGATTTTGATTTTTGCCATAATCAAGCGGCCCTACACCATAAAGTTAAAAGATGACCACATCAAATTGAAAAAAAAACATCTACATTCACTGGCCATTTTATTGGAAGACCTAATTTGACCTAATAAAATAACTTCAAACAAGTAAAAACTAGAAATAAACAAGTTATAATAATCTTCAGTTATAAAGTTATAATAATCATATAATAAGCTAACAATCTCAACATGAGAAATATTAGCTATCTTGACTAAACTGAAGGGAATTAAAGATGAACAGACTAGACTAAATTTGAACATGAGATTAGTCAGCTAGCTTTTAGAAACTTTGTCTACAACTATTGTTTTTAGACAAATTTGTTAATTATACAGACTTATTAAAACAAAATGAGAAATGTTTTTGTGAGAACTGAAACGTTTTAAGTTCTTGACCATGAAAGAAGGAATTTCAAGGTAATTTTTCTAAGAATGTAACTGGACACAAACCTGGCTTTATAACCTTAAAAACATTATATTTGAACTGAAATTTCTTCCTTCAGCTCCAAAATTCTTCAAGCTAGCTGATTAATGTCATACATATTAATCTAGTTTAGTCCAGTCTGTTAATCAACAACAACAACTATGACTCATTTCTAAGATTTTCTGGCTTTTCCAGTTTTTGCAGCGTCATCACATGAGCAGCCAGATTAATTGTTTACGTCCTTTATTTAATCCACTGTAGTCACTTCTTTGTAGTTAGTAAAGCTGTTTATTATAATGTGTGTGTATTTTTTACATTTTGTGCCTAACTTTCAGAAGGAGTTTTAGGAAGGTGTCTGACTTTAAGGAATATAGTGTTGATTTAAGACCAACTTAAAGACACTTTTGTTTATTTAAAAGCAACATTTTTCTGGCATCGAGCTTGAAGCTTGTTTAAGCTTTAACATTTCAAAACTTTTGTACTAAATGAAGTTTAAAACAAGAATAACTCCAGCTCATTTCAGATTAGGCAGAGAGCAGCTGCAGTGCCAAAGGGAGAGAGACAAAAAGGGCAGCACGGGCAGCAGTCGCGGAGACGCTCTCCCACAGAAAAGACACCTACTGAACTCTCCTTTTCTCTCCCTTTAACGAGGTTTAATGACAAACTCGGACCCATAAGAAGATCCCAGCCCGCTCTAATCACTGTCCACACTCTGAGCTCTTCCCCACAGCATTGCCACGGGTCCATCTACACACCAAAAAGCCTGAACCCAGAGCTGTTTTCTTTTCTTCTTACCACCTCAAAAGAGGTGTAGTTTTGTTTTTCCACCCATTGTCAGGCTACAGCATACTCTTGCTAAACTGTCTATTTTTGAGTTTGTAATAAACGTCAGAGCTCTGCTGACCTGTTTCTGGTGTGTGTCCAGTGTGATTTTTTTGCAGTGCAGAGACCACACCTGTTGATGCACAGTTTGTATCGGTCATCCTCTACTCCTTCATCAATGGTCAGTTTCTGACCACAGAGCCACTCTGAGTGGTGCCTAGCAGAGACACTGATGTGTACAAAAAAAACAGAAACACTACTGTGTACCAGCACCACATCAACGTCACTGCTGTGCTGAGAATGGTCCACCACCCAAATAACATCTGGTCAGCAGTGGTCCTGTGGCCAGAAATTGAGCAGTGGTGAATAGGGTAGAGGCCAGCTGACAAATGGTGCAATATCAGATCGGCTACAGTCTGCTGTACACCTAGACAGTGGACCTATAAGCTGAGTGGAGCTCATAAAGTGGACAGTGAGTGGAAGTACAGTAATAAAGCGAATGGTCGGTGTATATTAACGCATTTAAAAAACTTATGGCCAACAGCCATCTGCATGGGCGTGAGACAGGTGTCCGAGACGGTGCCCAGAAAACTTCCATGAGCGCCGGCAATGACTAAAGCTAATGATGCTGTATATCTGAGGACTGTGACTCATCATGTTTTGGTTATATCAATCCCTGTAAAAAGAAATACAGCTTTTCCGATACTTTACCTCACCAGGAGGAAACTGGCAGCTGAATATAGATATAAGCAGTATATTAACATAGACGTCTAGAGTTTCTTCTGTTTTATTATAAGTCTTACAGAGGACTGGGCAGTCTGACAATATTTATCTTTTTTTGTGATAAATCACATCACAATATGTCTAAATATGTATTTCTGAGTACGCTGTGTACATTGTCAGTACTTAAGGAACACTGAGCAGCTGCATGTTGCATTACAGAGAGCATAATTAATCCTGTTTAACTTGATTTAGTGCTGCACAGTATGAGAAATGATGAATACAAATAACTGGATTTATAATTTTAATAGTATTTTTTAACTGTGGCACTACTTTGCCCGCTCCAACTTATTAGATGTCAGAAAAATTATTCTGACATATGTTGTGAAAAATTCTTCAAGTATCGTGATATTACATTTTTGCCAGCTTGAAAAGTCTGTGGAATTCCCTTTTAGTTATACTTTACTGATCTGATTAGAATGGAAATTGGTTACTTTGATGCCTTTTCCAGTCTAGGAGTGGCACAGCATGGCAGTGGGGTTTAAGTGCCCTGCCCAAGTCTATAGTCCTCAAGATTCGGAGCCATAACCTGGGTTGTCCGGTTGCTGGCTCACAAAAATGTTTTCCCTTTTTTATATTTCACCCTCAGTCCAATTCAAAAGATAATAACCCTACATACAAATCTGATTTCAACTGAAACTTTCTGCACTTTTGCCAGAACTTTTCTGGCTTTTTCAGTGAAAAATATGCAATTACAACTTGCTTTTGCTATTATAAATAGAAAGTGCAACAATTAAGGGTGAAGTTTTATTCTGTTGTTATAACTTACAGGCAGAGCCAGGGCCTCATTAAACCAAGCATGCTGATCTGGAATCAGCTGCTTTGTGTTCACACTCTCTTATTCATCAGAGCAGAGGTGAGCTCTCCCAGTCTGTTCAGTTAAAATATATATATATGGCCACCAGAGGCTTCACAACTAGGCCCCAGGTGCCAAAAAGTAAAGGTAAATCTTCATAACAGAGGAGGAAAGCACACAAGGGGGGTGGGGGGAGAGATAGAGAGCAGGAAGGAGAGAACGGGGGAAAGGATGGAGGAAGTGAAGTGTTTTCTGACGGCTTGAGAAATGGCGAGGTCCACTCACCTCTTTGAGGATGCGCTCATTGAAGAACTGCTGCAGCTTCTCATTACAGTAGTTGATGCAGAACTGCTCAAAACTGTTGTGCTCAAAATACTCTGAGGAAAGAAAAAAACAAGAGAATGAGAGGGATAGAGTGATAGAGAGGACAGCAAAGAGAAAAAAGAGATGCAAGAAGAGAGAAAGTAGAGGAAGAGAGAAGAGAGAAAGGGGAGAGAGAGAGAGAGAGAGAGAGGAGAAGGGATGAGAGGGAGATGAAAGAGAGATGAGAGAGGGAGAATGAAAGGAGTAGGAGAAAGAGAGCGGCGTGTGGGGCTGTGTGAGTGATTGAGAGCAGAGAGAAGCTCATGAATGCTAAGTGTGTCACACTGAGAGACTATTTCACCGCCTCACTTTCAGCCCCACAGAGAAAATGAACAGAGAGGCTACAAAGCAGCCACACGCGCGCCGGGCATTTCCAAACTAAAATGCATTTGGAGACTCGGACATTGGAGAGTCGTTTATGCACACGCACACACACACACACGCATACGCACACTCTCCCGCACACACACCATTGTCAAACATTCCCTCATGACCAAAGCAAAACTTTTAACACCCCGGTGACGGAACAAAATGAAAATTTCTAACATAATAATCAAACATGATGATTACAGAGAACATCATTAATAAAAGGTACATATATATGTAGGATATTGGAAAGTATACATAAGACAGCAAAGCCACTGAGACTTTGTCTCTGTGTTGGAAAATTCCAGAACTTTTCTAAGCAGAGGCCTTCAAGTGAACCCTTTAAACCGTTAGCCACAAAGAGGCCAGTGTATAAACAGGTGGATGATAGGCATCAAGGGATGCAATGCAGCTCGCCCTTTTTAATGATTAGACAACTAGACCTTTTTAATTGGTCGAATTTGAGTCCAAAAAAGTGATAAATCTTCTCCTCATCTCTGGAAAGTGTATAAAAACATGAAACTCTGTACACTGTATTCGCATTCGGGTCCAGAGCCTGATGCCCAGGCTGAATGCACTTTGCTTGTAATAAAAATTTCAGCCTTTTTGTTCCGACTGAACTCAGCGTCTGAAGTCTTTGAAAACTTGAGACAGAATACTTGCTAGACGTAAGTGATACGCAAGACTTATTGATAAAGTAATCTGTTTAACAAATAGACCGGCGTGGGTGATTGGTGTCACTTTACGCCACAACACTGGTCAAATGATATGCTTTGTTGATTTTCTAAGTGAAAATAAATGAACACATCCTCTACAGAGAACACGGTCCCACTATATTAAGTGTCTCTAATAACTGTATGCAGTTACGATTTTGTATGTGACCCTGTTTTGCAAGACTGAAGATAATTTAGCAAAATTATGGTACAATGATAGAAGTGTTTACACAAAAAGGAGATTCTCTACAAATTCCTTTTTTGGCTCTAGTTTTGATATTTAAAGTCAAGTTAAGAGCATCCTCAGTCACTTGTTTCACAACAGGATCTGTGTAAGGTTTTGCCCATCATCAACAGGGCATGAGTTCAAATTATTGGCAATATTTTCAGACGATACCATGGGTCGTTAATATCGACCAATGTTATCGGCCAACCGGTATATCGGTCTAACCCTATTTTCAATTGGTATACCTGATAAACTGACATACACCAAAAAACAGGTATACTGCTGACTACTAATGGTAATTCGGACAGTATGCATAGCTATGGCAGACAATTATATGTTATTTTGCCTCATAAAACATTGTAGTTTTCCTGTTTGCCTTATTTAAAAATGTCTTTTAAATATATGATGTTAAAAAGTTTTTGCAGGCTGTGTGCATGGCTGCTTTCTAGCTTTCATAACTTTGGAGCGGTTTATCTTTCAGACATGATACACATGTGACAATTATCAGCAGAACTTGCCCTGTAACGCCAGAGAGGGATCATCAAGGTAGTCCGCATCAACAAGTAATCCGGCTTGATAAACGACCCAAAACTCACTCGCTATTATAATATTATATTTGTTTTTATGCTTCATGACTCAAACATGCTTCATGAAACAAAAAAGGATACAAATATCAGAATAATCTGCAAGACTCACCCTCTCTAGCCAGAGTGGGTGGTTGTCATGGCTACAGAAAGGGGGAGGGGCAGGTCAGCACATGGTGGTTGTTATAGTTACAGAGGTGGGAGGGGTAGATCAAAGTTCGAATAAAAAAATATATATATATTGTGGATTGGTGGTGTGGATTGTTGATTGGTGGTGTGGATTGTTGATTGGTGCTGTTTGTTTGAGAATTTTCATGGTCAAACAATGCAATTTCATTCAATGCCATAATTAACTGAATGTCCATTCTTCATGATGCACATTGTCACAGTTTTGCTTTGTGGTATCAAAATGTCACTATGCATTGTTACAAACGTAGTACTTAGTGATCTGTATCTGAATACTTTATTAAAGTAACCCTCTATACCCCGTATGTACTTTGTCAATTTTCTCACACAGACACACAGACACACACAGACACAGACACAGACACACACTCAAACACACACACTCACGCAATGTGGGCAGCGGCTCTCTTACCGAAGCCGGCGATGTCCAGCACGCCGATGAAATTAGCTGAGGATTCGAAAGGGAAGCACTGGTTGACCCTGGTGACCACGTGATCAAAGAGGCGGCTGTACACAGCCTTGGCCAGCGCATCCCGAGCGTTATTCGCCTGCTCCACTTTCAGAGGAACCCTGAGGGAGAGAGAAAGTATACTTTATTACATGCCTTATTAGTCACTGATATCAGATGGAAGTGCTCACTGTGTCTGAACACTCAGCTGGTTTTTACACTTAATCATCCCAAAATCATACTCACTCCAAATATCTTGCCGGCCCTACGTCTTCTAAAGGCAGCACTTCGGTAGGCAGTGCTTTATATCACAGAAGGGAAATGATAACTTTTCTGCATGTGTGTCCAATCATGGCCACTGGCCAATTATAGACTGGATCCCATTCCCCTTTCATTACTGGTCAGTTACTGACCCCAGTACTGCTGTTGACCAGGTGTTATTTGAGTCTAGAGGTCTGCACAGGCTTGATTGTTAATGCCTACTTTAATCATGCAACATGACCACCTGTGTCCGCAAAATCCAGTGTTGTTCCTGACCCCACCTGCCTGTAAAACCTAGTGTCATTCTTGCCCGCTTCCACCTGCTTCAACCACCTCATGCCTGCCCACACTCGCCTACTTTGGGCTATAGTTCTCATTCACACTGGTCAGCATTTAGCTTTGCTGCTCCTCTCCACAGGCGTACAGCATGCCCACACAACCACCACAACATGGTGGACCAGCCTCCAGACCCACCGTACCTCCATACACCCAGCCACAAAAAGTAAACGTTCTGTGTACGTTTAGGCTAAACAGAGCTGTGTAAAATTGACAATGAGAGTCACTATGTTACTCTGTTATACTTTATATTGTCACTATGTAATACTAATCCAGACAGATCTAGTTACCATTTCCAAATGTTCTAAGGCCCAATCCCATTGCATCCCTCACCCCTACTACTTAGCCCTTATCCCTCCGTTTTGCACATTCATGTCTAAGGGTAGGGTGTCCCGATTTTTGTTGAGATAGAGGGGTAGGGTGAAGTGTTAGGGCTACACGGCCCTCCAAACGGAGGTTTTTCAGAGACTCACTCCAGAGTGTCATGAGAAAAAAAGAAAACACGGCAAGATGGCTGTGCAAGCGACCAGGCAAACCCACAAATGTGAGTATTTTCTCTGTTACAAAATTACGATAACTGTTCTATCTTAGTTCATTGTCGTTTCAATTTATTATGGTCCTCTTATTCATAACAAGTATAAAAAAGCAATAGTTTTTTTATTGCTTGTTATACAAGCAATTTCCCGAATAAAATTTGAACAAGAAGCTGGCGAATAGCTGACTTGAGCCTCATATCACCAAAGAATTAGGAGTGTTCAATAATAAATAATAGTCACATCCCCTCTTCAGAGGTATACGATGCCCTAAATGTAACTAAAGCCCAGCAGTGAGGAGCTGAACTTTACCCCCCTCTGCTGTCACTGCAGACTGGCAGGGTCGCCTACAGAGCAGCACTAGTAGCTGTTAATGAAGTGATGTTCTTCTTTATTTGAGGTTTGTCCCACTTCGTAGAGGAAAATTTCAACCACTACAACTTGTAACTCAGTACCAAGGGGCAAGGTGACACTGGAAAACAAGGGGAAGGGGAAAAAATAAGAAAGTATCAGTATTAGCATCAATAGATACACGAGACATCAACGGGGCTTCCAAGTAGTGCAACCATCTAATTGTGAGGAGATCTCGAGTTCGATCACCAGCGATGCCGCAGCCATCCGTGGTCGGGAGTCCAATCAAGCATAATCAGCCTCATCCCCACTGGGTGGAGACGGCTGATGTAACAGAATTAGCAGTTAGCATTCTCCTACAAGCATGCTGAGCAGTCCAATGACACTGCGTTAGCAGCAGTTCAAATAAATATGGTGGATCTTTGTGTTTCTCTAGTCTTCAACCTTCCAGCTTGGTAGCATCATAGAAGGAGCCCTAGCTACCAAGAGGACATCTGGAGACAACCATGTGAAATTTTAGGCTAAATGTAGGTGGGAATGTTGACATACTTGGGTGGGAACAAATTTCGAAACCAATACAAATGCTGGCGAAAACATTAGGCCATGGATGTAACATAAGTTAGCATGGCTGAAAGATGCACATTACTTCCTGCAAGGTAAAAACAGCTTTGCTGGTTAGCTTGTTTTGCTTGTGTTATTGATGGTAGTTTGGAGGAATCTGGGGGTGGGTTTAAGAGGGGTGTACCCATGTTTGGGGTGAATTTTACAGCGATCCAGCAGTAAAAAGTTTAACAAGTCGTCCTCAGATGTGTATTCTTGTTATTCTTGTAACTAACCTAAGAAAAAAAAAAAACATTGGGCAAAAATCAGCAAAAATTAGCAAAACAATAAAATAAATGAATAAAATACTAAATAAGAATTCCTATAAGAATGTATCCCTATACTCCAAGCCAGGCTTTACCTGCAGCCCTGCTGCACCATACGTCAACACATTCACAGCGCAAAACTTATATCATTATCATCCATTTAGAACAAAATGACAGACAGATGAAGACAAATCGTGATCCAATAAAACCGCCAAAAGAGAGATAAAGTCCCTCGGCCCTCACTTTCCATACGTTCTCCAGTCAGCAGATGCCGTTCGCCTATAAATACACCCCACTCTCTGAGCTATAGATGTCATTCAGAGAAGGACATAAAGACAGAGAGAGGGATAAACTGCAAAAAAGAACAAAAGTGAGAGGAAAAGTCAGCATCAGCGAGGCACGAAGTAAAACTTTCAACTGCCAGGCTGAGAAACTTCCAGTTAAAGAGTTAAAGTTCAGCTAAAAAACAAATGTACACAACTTACTCCTTATATGTGGTCGATCAGCTCAGATCTGTGAGTTTGGTGTCTGTCTTGCTTCTTTCCTACTTAAGCTAAGAGGCTAATGCAGCTAAAAAGAAAGTCATTGAAGCTTATATCCATGTTAGCATCATGCTAACTGCATAGATCATCACAGACTTGCTTCAGATATCTTGAAAAGACTTGTGGTTTCGGACATTGTACACCAAACTGTTATCTATAAAAAAAAAGATAACAGACAAAATCCAGGCATCAAGATGGCTGCTACTGTTTTTAGCTATTTCAACTACAATTTAGCCACAAGGCTAGTTTGCAATTGGCTACAAGGCTAATCTAGCTGACAAGTAATGAAAGCTTATGCACATAAGTTGCTTGAAAACACACATAAGCCACATAAATTAGGCTATTTTTCACATTGCTTAACAACTTGACCCAATTTGAGGTGAAGGTGATGATTCAAGTCTGCAGTTTGTGTACATAAGCTTTGACTACCTGTTAGCTACATTAGCCTCATGGCTTCGGTGCAAAATTACACTCCATAATATAATAATGCTATCACGGCAAGTGAATTCATCTTCAGTCTAATATTTCTCATTTTGAGATTGCTGAAAGGATATTATATTATTTCACTTATTTTGAAACTTCTTTCAAAGAGGAATTTCACAGATTTTTCAAAATGTCTGCAGAACTCGTTGAGATGTAAACACTTCAAAATGGTTTGATGGCGCCTGATAGTGATTTTCCACCCGTAGCTCAGAGGCTTCTTGGGCTGGCTGTTCGAGTGACACTACATCGCAGCTATGACGTAGCCTGTGCTGGCCTGGGTAGCCTGGGTGACTGCATTGCAGTTATGAGGCTATCTCAACCATTGCCATTCAGCTGCATGAGGCTGCCTAAGTGATGCTACACATTGCCATTCAGCTACATGGCTGCCCGGACTGGCCCGCTTGGGTGACTCTGCATTGCAGCTATGAGGCTGCAGGAAAACACTACCTACTCACGGATAAGGATATTTCTGGCCTTCGAGGCTTCCCAGGGTGGCCATCTGTGCGACGCTACTCTGTAGTGGTGTGGCCCCCCGAGGCATAGTGAGACCTTCCTCCGCAGCTAAGGACTCTGTCCAGGCTAGCTAAGTGACTCTATATTGTGGTCTGGGGAGTCTCCCTGCCAGCTGTGGAACTGTGTGTGTGTGTTGTTTTTATTTGTTGTTGTTTATGTATTTTGTTACTTTTGCAAAGTGTCCCTGAGCATGGGAACGGTGCTATACAAATAAAAGTGATGATGATAATATATAATGGTTACAGTTGAGAAACTTCCTTACAGTGGTGCTGACAATAACCAGGGGTCTCAATATCTACAATACAAATAGCCATTTTATTTACTATCCAAAACCATCAGTGAGATTTCTGAGTTTTTTATATTTTGAGTTGATGATGGTAAAATGGTGGTAAATCTGAAAGAAAAAGTTAGACTTGAGACTAGTTTGCCTTAGACTGCCCTGCTCTGCCATAACGGATAAAAAGAATAAATAAAAATAAGATTTTAGGTAAAAAGCTCAAAATCTCAAAACTATCATGAAACATTTATTTTTATGTTTGTCCAATTTTCTCCCCAATTTAGTCATCTCCAATTCCACCCACTAGTTAGGACTCCCCCAATCACACGATACCACCAGCACAAGGAGGGTGAAGGCTAACACAGGCTTCCTCCTGTGAAGACCTGTTAAGTGCTAATGCATGTTTTCAAGCTGCTGCTAACACAACGTCATTGGACAGCTGAACGCGCTCGGAGGAAAGCGCCAACCGCCAGATCTGTTACGTCAGCTAACAGACGCCTGAGCTGACTAGCATCGCGTTAAGTAATGGGGGGGGGTGCATCCTATTCACCCAGAGAGTGAGGCCAATTGTGCCCTGTTGGTCTCCACGGATGGCTTTAGCATCACCAGGGATCGAACTCGCGATCTCCTTTTCAGAACCGTGAGTTCTAATGGTGAAATGGTTCTTCTGATTTATGGAGAATGTGTTGTATATGGTTCTATATAGAATCATATTGAAACTAGTTCTTCGTTGCACCAAAAAGGGTTCTTCTATTATTACAAGCCTGACATCATAACAATAGCAGAACCCTTTTTGGTGCTATTTTCAAAAAGGTTCTATATAGAACCATATATAACACATTCACCATCAATCTGAAGAATGTTTACACCATGCAAAGACCCATTTAAGCATGAAATGATTCTTTATAGAAGTCATGGTTCAAGCTCACAGATTCACGTGTTCACGTGTTGTCAGGTGTGTTTCTCGTGAAACATTAAGTGATTTTAAAACAAAAATAAAACAACCTGAATGCAGTATTTGTAATTTTCTACATACAATGTGACTCTGAAAGTGGGGTGGACTGTATTCTAGAAAAGCTCAGATTTTGATGATTGTCAGTGGTATACACATTTACTGATGTTGTCCAATAAAACAGAGCACAGTTTACGAGTAAACATGTGATACCCTGTTTGCCACCGCAACGGTAAAATGACTCAGTCTTCCTGGAGGCTACATTATCTCTCTCCAAGCAAGGCCCCAAAGCAAGGTAGTCCAGGCTTTCCCCTTACATAACACTCAGAAATAGAGTGCTTAAGGCAGGCTCAATCCTCCGCTGCCCTTCAGCCACCCTGCTACTGCCGAATTAATACAGTTAGTTTACAAAGCAGCCATTGGAAAGTCAGCGTTCTCTCTGCGAGCATGACAGAGCGCCTGTCTGTCTGACAAATGAGAGAGAGGCTCTCACTCTAAACATCTATTCATCTCTCTCTCACTCCAAGTATCTCTCACAAACACACACACACACGCGCGCATGCAACAGAGGCCCAGCCACCCACCCACACACACACACACCTCATTACTCTCTCCTCTATAAACGAAGAGATAAAACCTTGACAGCAGAAGGAAAAGAAAGAGGGAGAAAAAGCAGTGGCCAGTGTGGGAGGGATGATAATGGAAGAGAAAAGTGGTTCAGAGAAAAAGAGAGAGAGAGAGAGAGAGAGAGAGAGAGAGAGAGAGAGAGAGAGAGAGAGAGAGAGGAGCTAGAACACCAGAAGCTAAAAACAACAGAAGCGCATGAAGAGCTATACTCTCCAACTGAAGCGAGAGAGAGAGAGAGAGAGAGAGAGAGAGAGAGAGAGAGTATATAAATATATATGAATTATGTTCTTTAATATTATAATCACTATTAGTATTAAGTGTTCCTTTGGCAACGTGTTGAATACAATTTAAAAGCCATTTAAATCTGAATGGAGGGACAGAAAGTGCTGGCAGAAAGAGGGAAAGGGAGGAAGGGGAGAGAGAGAGAGATGAGGGGGAAAACACAAGGAGGGGACAGAAGAGAGAGAAGAGAGTGAGAAAGAGAGATAAGTAAACGTATGGGAGAAAGAAGAAGAAGAGAGAGGACAAGGAGAAAGAGAAGGAGAGAACAGAAAAAACAGAGACAAAGTGAGAGAGACAGAGAGAGAGAGAAAGAAGGATGAGGGGAAGAAGACAGAGATGGAGAGAGAGAAAGAAACAGAGAGGGAGAGAGGGAAAAAGAGAGAGAGAGAGACAGAAGTCTCTCAACAAGTGGACTTAGCTGTACATGTGCAGCTAGGCTGTAGCTCATCCAATCAAAAGACAGGGGAGGAGTCCAGTCAGAGAGAGCGGAGGGGTCCAGCCAGAAGGAAGGGAGGAGTCCAGGCAGATGAAGGGAAGGGGTCCAGTCAGAGGGAGGTGAGGAGTCTAGTCAGAGGGAGGGGAGGAGTCCAGTCAGAGAGACGGGAGCGGTCCAGTCAGAGGGAGGTGAGGAGTCTAGTCAGAGGGAGGGGAGGAGTCCAGTCAGAGGGAGCGGAGGGGTCCAGTCAGAGGGAGGTGAGGAGTCTAGTCAGAGGGAGGGGAGGAGTCCAGTCAGAGAGAGCGGAGGGGTCCAGTCAGAGAGACAGGAGGGGTCCAGTCAGAGGAAGGGAAGGAGTCTAGTCAGAGGGAGGGGAGGAGTCCAGTCAGAGGGAGTGGAGGAGTCCAGTCAGAGGGAGGAGTCCAGTCAGAGGGAGGGGAGGAGTCCAGTCAGAGAGAGCGGAGGGGTCCAGTCACAGAGACAGGAGGGTGGACCAGAGGAAGGGGAGGAGTCCAGTCAGAGAGAGGAGAGGAGTCCAGGCAGATGGCGGGAAGGGGCCAGTCAGAGGGAGGTGAGGAGTCTAGTCAGAGGGAGGTGAGGAGTCCAGTCAGAGGGAGGGGAGGAGTCCAGTCAGAGAGAGCGGAGGGGTCCAGTCAGAGGGAGGTGAGGAGTCTAGTCAGAGGGAGGGGAGGAGTCCAGTCAGAGAGAGCGGAGGGGTCCAGTCAGAGGAAGGGAAGGAGTCTAGTCAGAGGGAGGGGAGGAGTCCAGTCAGAGGGAGGGGAGGAGTCCAGTCAGAGGGAGTGGAGGAGTCCAGTCAGAGGGAGGAGTCCAGTCAGAGGGAGGGGAGGAGTCCAGTCAGAGAGAGCGGAGGGGTCCAGTCACAGAGACAGGAGGGTGTCCAGGCAGATGGCGGGAAGGGGCCAGTCAGAGGGAGGTGAGGAGTCCAGTCAGAGGGAGGTGAGGAGTCTAGTCAGAGGGAGGTGAGGAGTCCAGTCAGTGGTAGGGGAGGAGTCCAAGCAGAGGGAGGGGAGGAGCCCAGTCAGAGGGAGGGAGGGAGGGGAGGAGTCTGGCCAGGGGGGAGGGAGGGCAAGAGTCTGGCTAGTGGGAGGGAGGGGGAGGAGTCTGGCCAGGGTGATGGAGGGGAGGGGTCTGGCCAGGGGGAGGGATGGAAGGGGAAGAGTCCAGTCAGATTTAAGGAAAAGGAGTCCAGTCAGATGGAAGAAGTAGAGGAGTCCAGTCAGAGGCAGGGGAAGAGTCCAGTCAGAGGGAAAGAAGGAGTCCAGTCAGAGGCAGGGGAAGAGTCCAGTCAGAGGGAAAGAAGGAGTCCTGTCAGAGGAAGGGGAGGAATCCGGCCAGAGGGAGGGAGGGGAGGAGTCCGGTCATGATGAGGGAGGAGGTTTGCCTATAAGCCACACTGTGATTCATATCTCTGAGTGACCGGAGCTGTACCCTCTGACCTCTCACTGTCTCCTGTACTTTCAGTCATTCGTATGAATGTGTTTCTGTCAACTTTCTCCATTAAGATGAACAAAAGACAACAGAATTAGTAAAATAGTAAAATGAACAATAACAGGTTTAAATAGGGTTCTACCACCCAAATAACTGTCCTGACCACTGCAGGGGACACGCATCCACACACACGCCTCAATCTCCCTAACACATGCTAGCTAAACAGTACTGCTGTATGATGACATAATATTACAATACTGTGCAGACACTACAGCCAGAGACCACCCTGCATTATTTATTTTCCGGTCAAAACAGCCATTAAGTACAAGTTATTCATTTTGCATTAAGAAAAAGAAAAAACACATATTTTACATACATTTTTCAGTATTTTGTGTATCTACATTTCCACAGCTTCCATTCTTTTCATTACTTTGTTTAATTAGCACATTTTCATGTGTTCAGGTCTTGCAGGTGGTCCTACTTTCTTTATATCTTTTAATCATTTTTGGAACTCAAGTTTTGGAAACTCCTGTTTTTCTACTTATTCCTCTGACTTTAACCTTCCTTATGTAAGTGGATTATCTTACATCTAATCTCTTCAGAAATATCTCCTAAAAATAAATAACTCATCATTTATGGCCATTCATGGTCTCTGACATCTGCACATTATGTCTCGTATCCATTACTTTAATAATATAGTCACTACATAATACCAGCAATTAGAATAACAGCACCAGTGAAAGAATTTCACAACTAGCATGAACAAAAGACACACATTCCACATGGTAAGCTTCATCTGCTCCACCGTCCTTTTCTGTCCTGTCATTGTGCAGATAGCATTTGCAAAAATGTCAGCAAACACGTTGGGATGGTTTCTGCGAGGCAGGCTTCCATCCCAGCTGACAAATGCCATTCAGTGACACTGTGATGTTTACAGCAGATTTCCATGACATTTTGATGCAATTATTAATCTCAAAAGGTGACGAAACCTTGATTAGTGTAGCTTTTGGCAATTTACAGTGACTGTGTCTGACCGGCCTTTGTGAAGACTCTAGTTAAAGTGGCTGAAGGCTGTTAAACGGGAAGATTCCTCACATTAGCACATCAGTGGCACCCAGACGCTAAGTCAATTAGCATCAGCGCCGCTTAATGGAAGAAGAGGACTCGCTTCTACCTGCTCCGCTTGTGTGTTTGTGCACGTATACATGTGTGAAAGAGAGCGAGAGAGAGAGAGAGAGAGAGAGAGAGAGAGAGAGAGAGAGAGTCTCACTTGATGACTGTGCCTTTAGCGCCCCCTGCTGTTGTCAGCATGACTCTGGTGGTGAGGCTGACTCTCAGATCCTCTTCATCCAAGCCCAGCAGCTCGGCACAGTGCTCCAGAGCCTGACTCGACTGCCTCTTTAAGATACAGCCACCTGGGGAGACATTCACAGACAAAAAGAACTGTTTAAAACGCAAAGCTGAGCCGAATATTCTAGCTCAAGCGTTCTTAACCTTGATCTCGACACAGTGTGACCTTTTTTGGGGTTAAAAATATTTCGTAACCCCCTCTTTCACAACCCATCCTCCCTCCAGCCCCCCTCTCCTACACACTGGTATACACATTCAATATATTACATATAAATAATCAAATAGTAAGTCCACTCACTTACTGAGCCCACATTCTTTATCTAGCACTGCACCACAAACCACAAATAATTAGCCTGGCGCTGAAAAAATGCTTCAAATTCAGCTGCCAATCAAGACCCTCCCTCAGTAACGAGCTCACCCATGTGGAGCCATTTTCTCTGTATTTGATCAGGTATATGCCCCCTCAGGGGGGTCCAAGTCCCCAGGTTGAGAACCTCTGGTCTAGTTCTTCATAGGACACATGAAACTACAATGGGGGGGTTGGAATCACTGTTTTAAAAAAAAATCAGCTAAAAACTCTGTTTTTTATGCCTAATCGTTTTTAAGAACTAAAAAAGCTCATTTTTAATTCTGCTTGTATTTCCACTAAATGATCGTAGTAATGCTCTTTTCCATTGTTAAGTTTCGGGTGGAAACGTGGAAAGGGTTAAATTTAAGGGTTAATTCCAAAAGAAAACTGTCCAATCAGGATTTTGTTGTAGGCAGATACAGCCAGCCTAGCTCTGCCACTGGTTAGGACTTCAGGAGCTGAAAAGAAGGCCTAACATTATTATGTTAGATTAACCACCAACATAATTAGGAAGTGACTGTGGAATCAATCAGTTCTGTTTTGAGTTACAGTGGGTGGGACCAATTTTGTAAGAAGCAACAACACTCTAGTCTAGACCTGAATTACTGGTTTTTGTTTTGAATTTGTGATGTGACAGAGTGCAACTTTAAAATGGCAGGAGTTGCAGCTTTAACTGCATCCTACGTTGTTCACAGTTGTCATAAGTTTTAAGTGAAATTTAATTTAATGCAGAGCTTGGCGGTCTAGCACACTACATTCAGCATTCCAGCCTCAAGTTAGATGCACTGGTCTTCTTGGTTAAAGCTTAATTTCTAGAAAATAATTGCGTTTAAATAGCAAGTGCAATATTGGTCAGACAAATTGCAATGAGATATTTTGCTTAAATTGTTCAGCCCTGCTATAAGCCTTTTGGAAGTCCTAGACATGTCAATGAAACTGAATTTGGGCTGTCTAATGAGGTTTCAGTCAGTCAGAAATGAAGAACAGCAGCAGTAGCTCTAGGCCAGGACTCTCTAAAGAGTCACTGAAAGTCATTCACACACTTCAAATGTCTGTGTTTAATCTAGAACAGTCAAAAAATGTTCATGTGCACTAGCATTAGCTTAGGGCCAGTATACTACTAGAATCCCATAGGCGAGCCAGCAGAAATCATTATTGTAGAGGAGTTTTGATATTTATAGCCCAAACTGAAGGCCTAACTTCTGGTCCTCTATAAGTTCACAGGTTTCAAATAATTAGTATGGAGCTGTAATAAAAATGAAGAAATTTCAGGTTTTAAGTTGACAAAAGATATTAACACTGTGGGAACAAAACCGTTTTTCAGTTTCTGACATGATTTGAAATTGTTGCCCTTTACATTGCTTGTAAATTTCATGATGAATGGACCAAAAAGAAACGGCCCAAAATCACTAGAAAAAACATCTGGTTCCATTGACTCACACTGAAAGTAAAGTATGTTTTTTCCTTCTCCTGTAAAGTTATCATGTAAAGATATCCCTGCAGATTTCTTTGAGAAAGTGAGAAAGTCTCCTGAAATGAATGGAAGCTGTATAAAAAAAATAAAAAAAAACACTAAAATATTTGAAATATCAGAAAGGAATCTATACAGATGCTTGGAGTCTGGTTTATGATATTTAAACCTACTTGATGTAACTTGTTATTGAATAAGACACATATCAACTTCACCTCAGATGAGCTGGGAGTACAACTGCCTCCCCTAAAACAGTATCTCTCCAGGTGTATGTGTCCTGCAGGCTCACTGGGTGATGCATGGCTGAGATCAGGCCTCCTACAGAGAGCTATTTCAGAGCTAAACTGGTTTCATTAGTCCTGAAATCACCCCCTCCATCTCTGCCTGCAGCGCACCACAATAAACTCTCTCTCACTCACTCTCTCTCACTCCTCCTACTGTCTCTCTCGTCCTGGGCTTCGCCTTGTTCACCGTCAATACTGCAATCACACCACACCTGGCGCGTTTATGGCCAACGTGCTCGACTGAGGGAAACCACTGGGAGCAGCTGTCTCCTCTGCTGTGACTAGAGAGGATCAGTGAGCTCACCACATCTTTTCACAAACAAAATCCCAAAACCTTCCCATAATTCCTCATTAAAAATATCCATGACCATTTCTCATGACTTTAATAACTTCAAAGCAGAGTTTGATGCCTGATTTTAATACCTTGTGCATGTAATTCACTCTCACATGATCTTTGAAAACACTGGCATATACAGTCAAATGCCGAAGTCTGAACAGCTCTGGTCATACGACAGGTTTTGTTGATTTTCTAAGTGAAAATAAGTGAACTTAAAGTGGCATTTTCTGCATATTTAACCCTCTACTGCACAATCTTGCCTCAGGGCAACAAACTAATTTTCCTCACTTTACAATAACATTACACACATTTAAAGACAACGATAGGGTTAACAATGAAGGGAAGAGTTTGAGTAAGTCAATAAAAAGCACACGGTCATACAATCTCTTAGTGGGCACTTTTAAACCTCATTTTAAACACTGAGTGTAAACTTTTTTGGTATGAGATTTTGCAGAAATACGTTTGTTGCCTAGAAGCAACATTGTGCAACAGTGGAATGAATTTAGCCAGTCACAAGCCAGGTTTCACCACACTCTATATCATTTCTTCCCATTGTCGTACAGTGTTGCCTCAAGACAACATACTCCAAAAGGACCCCTGCACACATTATTTGTATTTTTTTTTTAAATGTTTTTTAATTTAATAATCGGGTCTGAAAAAATAAATAAAGGACCCTTTTATGCAAGAAAAGTGAATTTAATTTTTTTTAATTGCTCTCATAATGTGTGCAGTAGAGGGTTAAGAGCACAATTTCTACTTCTTTGCTGAGTTTAACATATTGGAAAAAAATAAAACAAAATACAAAACATGCCAGAACTTTTGCACACACCATTTTTTTTCATCCCCCGCCCCCCACATCCACCCATTCCCCCCCAACGAACATCTATTCCTCGCTGAGCACTCATGCTCTCTAATGCAGACAGCTTTTGAGGAGGACATGAAAACTGTTCCGCTGAAAGCGTCTGCAGCTGCAACTTTAAAGCCCAAACTGTCTTCAGTGTAACGAGGTGAAATGTTAACATAGTTTTTGACAAAGTTTATTCCTTCATTCCTACAAATTAACCAAAACATTTTACGTCTGCCCATCGTCAGTTAAAGCCTTGGTTGCACTACATGACTTTTAAAGTCTTAACGGATTATAAAAAGCATTTTTTGCAGATTTTTTTGGGTGACTGAAATATTGGAGATCACAATAAACGTTTAGGGATCAGACACTACTCAACTCGTAAGCTGTTGCTGAACGAAATGGAACTCATATGAACTCTCGTGTTCTCCCGTTACTAGGAGACCCAAATAAACAAACGTGGCTCGGCTCGCTGCTACTGTTTTCTCTGCACTGACACAGTAAAGAAGCTTCAGGTAAACATGTTTAATTGAGGCTCATAGATTTAAAAATGTAATCAGTGTGGTATTTTTCAGAGTTTTAAATGACTTTTTGCCATTTCTCTTTGTTCACTTGCTGTATTTTCTTCTTTCGCACTCACAGTTGTCATCGGCTGTTGCAGGAGTCTGTTCAGATTGAGTCGTTGACCAGTTTACACTAGATTATGCTCAGAGTCGGGTTGAAAAAAATCAAACATGTTTCATAAACTCCGACTGACCTGAAACGCATTCGGGAGGCCAAAATCTGAGTCCGCACCCCTCACACACTACTTGACTCTCTCTGTGACTAACCCAAAAATCCGGAGACTAGAGCCAATTAGAACAGGCTGGGCCAGACTGAGAATCAGGGTTAAATCGGGGGGAAAAGTCGTGTAGTGTAACCCTACACGAGGCCTTCAAACTGAGGTAAGGCTGATTTGGCTTTGAGCTTGAACAATTGGGTACACTCTACAAGCTCCACTCAGGCATGGTTGCTACTGTTGTTTAAGTGGAAGCAATGTAACCCTGCAACAAGTACCTTCAGTAGATTCTGTATGTTTCTCTCCAACAAACCATTTCACACCATTTCAAACTACTCTGAATGACTGTTTACATCTCACTGATTGAATACTGCAGAACTTTTGAAAACTGGTGGTATTCCCCTTAAATACTTGGACTAACCAAACCCATTTTCATGATTATTCCTAGTCAGCAGGTTTAAACCCACAACCGTGTATAAACAGTTCAGGCCAGTCCCTAAAGTGGCTTTATGTAGTCAGTTAAGCTACGTTATATCAAATGGCTACACAACACTAATTATATTAGACTAATTAAAGGGAGGCTAATGAGGTTAACTGTCATTTAACGGGTTATTTGATTAACTGTTATTTGATGGGCTTCAGTCGGCCATGTGTTTGCAGTAAAGGAGGCGTGGGTGAGCGTTTTCTTGCCGGCGCCGGAGCAGGAGCAGAGGTTACAGATGGATGCTCTTCAATAGGACCACAATGCAAATTAAAATGCAGCAGTTTTAAAAATGAAACTCGAACTGCTACATCTGCAACATTACACAGTTACCAGTACTGCTTTATGCACCGAGGACGCAGAGCAATAATCAATTTGATGCTGTGCGTGAGCGTATCTGTGCAGACTGAGGCCCGAGCTGAGAGTGTTATTAAAGTGATTGATCATAGTGAAGTTTGGGAAAGTAGATGTGCGCGCGCACACACACACACACACACACACACACACATATATATATATAT